AACTTTCTGCTAAGGACTTTTTTTGCAACGAAATGCAGGGATTATGAAATGCAAGCCCCGCGTATTTTGCGCGTTTTTCTGGAGGGACTGCCTTAAGTACTTTGTATATCATTGAGTAACTGTACCTCATCAGAGTTGTATAGACTCGATAAGTGGTACAGTAATTGAGAAGTCCACTGTACCTTGGTGCAGCGTGTCTTACTGAAGACGTTCCAGAAACGTAGTGTCTCATCCCCGGCTCCTGTAACGATGGCCTCCCCGTCAGGTGACACAGCCTGAGAAGGCAGGACAATGAGAGAACTGGTGAGAGTGTGATCATTCTAGTAAGCACATATTTGGAACTTAATTTCCTTTAGTAAAGCATCTGAACACTTCCTCCACCACTGGATAAATGTATGAAGACACTGGACACGAGTATGCTTCCTGTACATTTCACAAACTGAAGCTGAGGTAGTTGTCCAGTTACATTTGATGCTTACCAGATACAGCACTCTGTACGAGTGCCCTGTCAACTTGGCCACCTGCGTTAGTGACGGATACTTCCAAACCAGGATCTGGTTCTGAGAGTAGCCGTGAGTGCTCACCTGTAAACAAAGGGAGAACAAGTAGCTAAACATACAAACAGTAGATAATTATTGTAGAGATACTGTGTGGAATGTAATTGTACATATGTCTGAATGAATGGAAATTAAGTGTATATTAAGTCCCAAGAAAATGCAATAAAATGTTAATTAATTACTATATACTGTTTTAATGTCTCTTCTTTGAGAGTATATTATTAGTTTTTAGAAAATATAATGATTTTACCAGTAATTAAATTACTTTTTACTGATTATTGTAATTTGCTACAAGGCCACACCTACAACTCAGTGACACTGGAAACTGGACAGTATCTGTATACAGAGACTGCATCCCCAGGGCAGCATGTGTTGCGTGCGTGTCTCCTCACCAGTTCGTTGGCGTGCTTGGACCACGCTAGGTTGCAGACCTGGGAGCCGGTGTCTGTGCTCTGCAGCGCCTGACCCGTCAGCGTGTTCCAGAAGCGCAGGCAGCGGTCAGCAGTCCCTCCCCCTGACGCCAGCAACCCATGTTGGTGGGGGGACCAGGCGATGGCCTTCACCGCCGCCAGGTGGTCACTGTACTGCTGCACGGGGAGAAGGCTGGAGCTGTTCCACACCAGTAGCTGGGCACAACAAGGAACGGGATCTCGAGGCTTGAATATGTTTACTTTAACTGTCGCAGATTGTTTAGGCCTAACCTCAGGACTCAGTCACACAAAAGTTGCCAACAGAGAAGTTCTCTCACCTTGTTGTCGTTGCCTCCGGACGCGAGGTGCTGGTGGTCAGGAGACCACTTGAGGCCACACACCTCTTGTCTGTGACCTTGCAGCCTCCTCTCAGCTGTAGGGGGGGTTCTGACGTCCCGCTGTAGGATCACTCGGTCCCGACTCCCCGACGACAGCTGCTCCCCGTTCCACGCCAGAGCACCTTGGGCACAAAGGGTAGGACAGGAGGTTCATATTTCACTGTGGCTGTCAAGAATCCATCTGCTGTTTCTTGATATGATAACACCACATGTTCAGTGCTACAGTATACAGTATATGTTGGAATTTAGGGTTGTGGTGCTGAAAGCGGACTCAAACAGACTAAACAGAGGTTTATGACTGACCTACACGTGCTGAGTGACCCTCCAGGCTGGTCAGCTTCCTCCCTCCCGCTGCGTCCCAGATCTGAACGTAACCTTTGTGGGTTCCGACGGCAACAAGACTCCCCTGATAGGACCAGAGTCAAATCACACTGTTATTTTCCCATTACCTCTTTCCCACATACAGTTCTCTTATACTACTGTCATAAATAAGCAGTAGATTCAGTCTCACCCTCTCATTCCAACAAACTGATGTAACAGAGTCTCCATCCACTGACAGGTCACATAACCTTGTCACCTGAAGATAGACACAAAGTACATACACACACATATATAGATATATATATATATATATATATAGACTGCAATAAAACAAATAAAACATGTCTTTATGTCCTCCTCTTACCTGGCTGGTGCAGGCACTCCACAGGTAGACGCAGGCTCCCAGGCCGACACTGAGTAAGTTGCCGGCTGACCAGTCTACCAGGTTGAGGTAGAAGTCATCCTGCAGCTCCGGAGCATCCAGCACTTTGAAGGGGATCTTGGAGATCTTACGGGCTGGTTTACGAGGGGAGCGGAGCAGCTTGTGACTACGGAAACACCGAGAAGAAACGTCATCTCACAGCGTAGTTTAAGAGTAATTTCTGCTCAGTGTGCAGCATGTGACATATTTCTTACCTCTTGTTACTAAGTGGAGAAAGGGAGTATGGGGAGACTTCGTTATCGCTATCGAAAGGCACTCTCTTAGTGTGGACAGTGTACTGCGGAGGATGAACGCACAAAGCAGAATTATAGTTTTGAAGTTATGTCACACACAGGTTATATAAGCTGATGGTTTTTATATTTTTTAAGAACCAAACGTGTCAGACACGATTGCCACATCAGCATTTTAATGAGAAAACCTTGTTGCATCACCAAAATCTGATGTGGAGTGATTTGGAAACAAATTTGTACCCTAAAAAGGCTGTGAGAGTCTTGAGAGAGGACTGCATGGCGCCGGTCGTCTGTGTGAGGGTCTGGCACAGTCTCTATCCCTGCCCCCAGTAACTCATTCCTCAACAGGGCAGCATACGCCACAGCATCTGGAAGGGGAATTAAGAGCGGTGATGGAAACACAGGTGGTGGAGAGAAACAGCTAAAAAAACCAAAACAACTGAGATGATCCATAAATAGGTGTAACAACAATGTCTGACCTTTGCTTGAATCTGAGCTGGCATCCTTTGCTTTATGGTTCTGGTTTGGGGAGCGACAGTTCTCCTGCACAGAGACGGAAAGGTACGTCACTGAAGTGTCTTTGTGGGACAGTATAAAATAGAAAGTGTTTAGCAGACTGGGTAGGTGAAAAACCAACTGCTCACGTTGGCATAGTGGAAGTTGATGCTCCAGTTGCTTCCAGCGCGGGTGGGAATGAAGCGGTCCCCTGACTTAACACTGACAGGACTGCAGGTAGCACTGACACACTGGGATGGCCAGAGAGAGACAGTAAAGCCACAAGTAATCCAGACGGGTTATTACTATTCTGAAAAACAGGGGCTTTTAAATGTCTAACTTAGCCCTCCTGATCATACTTTACCACCTGGGTAAGGAGAACTGAACTGGACTAGAGTGGCTATCTCACCTTTGACAGGCGGGCCTCTGTCGGCAGGTTCTGGTGGTTGATTTGCCTCAGCAGTCTTCTCTCGTACTCTTGGTCCATCTCCTCCAGGGCTGACGAGCAGCAAGGCCCCTCTGCTGCCCTCCCCGCCCCCCTTTAAACCTCCGCTCCCTCCCGTTGAGGAAATCCACACTGGATCCCCATCTCTGTGAAAAACAGGCAAAACTAATTCAGAACAGACACCAATTTTTGGGGGGGTTGGGGGCACACACATACCACCAACCAGCCTGGCTAGCGTGGTGTGTGTGTATGTCAGGGCATGTCAGGTGTTATTAGTGTTATCGTAACATGGTTTAAAGCCCCAGTCTCCATGTGCAGCGTCTTTAAATCATAAAAGCGGACGGATATCGATGTGAAATCGCTATACAGCTCCATAGCGCGCTAATGACAGCCGCACCGTTGTCATGGCATCATGCTCGAGCACACAACAACCTGTTTACAACGTTAACATCAGCTGACGACACTGCTGCTCGACAGCGAGGCTCTCTTACCCCGACTGACACGGTGGCTCAGGGGACCAAATCAAGTGTCATCTTCGGTCGAAAAGATCGGCTCTGCAGCGGGGAGACGGTGGTCACTTTCTTCCGAATGACAGCGGAACATCCAAATGCCAACGCGACTCGCTGCTGTTGTTTATGTTCGCGACAAAGATGGCGACCGAATCAGCTGTAGCAGAAATTCTTTGGTTGACTTCTGCTGTCTGTGCAGTCAGCGCAGTGCGCGGCGCAACAGCGACGCCCGCCGGCGATTCACGCTCACTACATCGAAGTCGCACTGTGGTTGTTCCCTATGTGGCCACAGGGTGTCGCTGCTGCACTGCGACATAATTTCCCTAGTGCTTCCAAGCAGAGGTCTTCTTATTCGGCATGAGTAGTATAAGAGAAAGCATAAAAATACATATGAGTTAAATGAGGGCATTAATGCTCTGTTTGACCCTGGGTCCCTTACAGTCAAAAACAGACGTAACATTGTTTTTCAGCTTTATACTTCAAAACTTTTAATTTTATGGCCATTTCTCATGTTGTAAATATGTAATAATGCAGACAAAATGAATATATTCATGTTCAAGAATGGCGCCTATAAAATATGAAATATTTCCCTATTTGGTGCAATACAATGGTGAAGGTCATTTCTATATTTTATATTTATCAAATGTGAAATATCAGTTTGTGTCAAAGGGAAAGGTTACCACTTATGTGTTTTGGGGTTTTACTAAGGTTAGTGGGAAACAGAAAAAAACATGATGATTTTTGAATTGTTATACTTTTTACAGATACAGCAATGAGGAAGTAAAGCCAGTGTCAGCAAAACACATGGTAAACAGTTCTACCGTACCACAGGGGATCACCGAAGAGGTATGAAAATACTTCCCCAGACCACCATGGAGCCTCCTGCACATGCATTGATTAACTTTTAAAACCAACCTCTCACATTAATTTGCATAGCCTCTGTGCTTTCATCAGTAGTTGCATGTCAAGCAGAGAGTGAGAGTATTGGTAGCACATGCTTGCCCAAGGGCCCCTGCGTGAGCGTGACTTCAAAGTAAATAAAGATCTTACATTTACCCTCACTGATACACAATTTTCCATCCCCTGCTAATAGCACCAGAGAGCACTTTGCAAACAAAACAGGCAGATAAAGGTTTACTCTTTGAACTCTTTCATGTGTGGTTTTCACTCTGAGCCACTGAAGCACTGACAGACAGAGAGAGAAGGAAACTGGCATGCTGCTGCGTGGTCTTTAATGAGACTGACTGACATGGTTGAGTGGAGACAAGGCATCTCTGGTGGCACTCTGATCTGCACGTAGGCCAACATTCACATGTCTGCAGACCTGGAGTAAGCCACTCATACACTGTTTATAGATTGTCTCTGATTTCCTTTCTGTGCTAAATGGTGTCTCTGTTTTCACTCCAGACAAAGGACATATGCACATACGTTATTGGCAGCAGGTGCTTATAGGTACAGTTTTGTAGTTCATACTGCCCTTGATTACCTCTGTTTTACACAACTTTATATTTCTACTCTGCTATATTTCAATGTGAAACATTGCTCTTTTCACTCCCCCACATGTATCTGACAGTTCATTACAGTTCAGTAAACAATAAACAAATGATAAGCCTATGAATGCAATTCAATTACAATTACCTCAAACTATTTTCATTGTTCATCCATTACTTTTAACTAGCATTTATCCTTGAAAATGAATAAAATATCATCTCATCTCATCTCATGACTCCCCAGGTTTACCTTACGACCTTTTGGAGGACGCCGACCCCTAGTTTGGGAAACACTGGACTAAATGTGGTGGACGGGGCAACAAAAATAAAAAGGACACCAGCGCACAAAATGTTGTGATGCATTTATGGTGAAACAGCTTAGTCAGGGTTAGGATAAGCACCCTTGAGGGCTCTTTATCATATTACATATAGGGGCAATTAGGAGGGCACTTTTTTGGGTCCACCAGTGGTGTATAAAGTAATTACTAGCTCCAACGCTATAATGCCACTAGTAACAGTAACAATTTCACAATGTAATAGACTAAAATATCAATCACAGGCCCCTTTTTTTCCTGCTGAATTAATACATTTACTTTAATACTTTAAGTATATTTTGCCGATAATTCTGTATTTATTTCTGATTTTAAATGTTAAAGTATTGGCATCTTTACTTAAGTAAATCCTTAAAGGATATAAGTACTTTTCCACCACTGTACATTATACACTATAGGCATGTTTACAACATGCACACATTTCACACCAGTGTCACTTACAAGAAGCTATCTGACCAACATCTAATTTTTTGCTTTTAGACAGCGCAGCCACAACAGCCTCCCTTATCTGCATCCTCCATCAGCTCTACACAAAGCAACGTGCAGCCAGGCCCACGTTGGAGAAGCCTGATGCCGACGTGAAGGGCAGCGTCTGAGGGTGTAAAGCAGCTGTCTGCCCCGGTCAGGGCGGAGGGGGAAACGCAGCAGCCTTATCACTCCTGTAATACAGTGCAGTTCAGTGGGCACAGAGGAAGCTGGGCTGTGCTTGCTCTCAGATCCTTACTGGAATTCACAACAAAACAACAATAGCTTTCTGACTAATCTCATGTCACACACGATGAAAAATAATAGTTTCAGTGGCCTATGATAAAACATGGGGGAAAAATTGTCTTCGTAACACTGAAGGTGTTAAACACAGGCTCAGCATTGTTCCAGGCAAACGTGAATAGCTTTATTGTTCATATCCTCTCAGAGAAAGTTGTTATGGAAAAGGTAGAGCCTGGTAGATAAATAACTCAGCTCTGGAAAACACAGCAACAGGGCATTACCGTAAAACAATAATCTTATCTTTACATCATGTGAGCAGTACCGTTTGTTGTTTGATAAGTTCCACATTTACATTTTAATTATGTATGTGTGTGTTTTGGTGAGAAATAAAGAGACACCATGCAACAATAAAGCTACCAGATCATAGTCAGATTTAAGCCTAGGCCATAGATGACCTTTGGTGGAGTATGCATTGTGCTGCAGTGACATCGTTTTGTTATAATTGTTGATATTTTCACATTGAGTTGGCCCTCTCTTTTTCTCTCTTTTCCTCCACCACAGACTGCACCATGTTGAACATCTCCTCCCACGCACTTGCTCACTTTGACACATCAGTGAGCTACAGAGTTGCATGCTCTCTCCTCTCTCTCTCTCTCTCTCTCTCTCTCTCTCTCTCTCTCTCTCTCTCTCTCTCTCTCTCTCTCTGTCTGTCTTTGTGTCAAATAAGGACAAGCATTGATCTGGGCAAAATCAAGAGAAGGGCATGTAGAATAAACATGATTTGGTTTACAGAAGATCTTTATCTCAATCAGACCACAAAATTTCCAAATTTCATCAGAAAAGAAAAGATGATTGTTTTATGAGAAAGTCAACATTCTGTGAGGTGGCAATAGCAGAAAATTGGTGGAAAATCCAACAGCCACACTGTATGTGCTCATGTATGGGTTCACGCTGGGTGTCTGTACATGTATAATCAATATTCACTATTCCATCTTTCCTTATTTTCCCCTCAGGCATAGCGGGTTCCCTCCGTCTCCAAGTGTCACATCTGCTATGTCACAGTTTTTTCAGTCTGTTTGTGTGTGAGCATGCATGTGCCTTAATGTGTCATTTTTAAGTATGCATGTATGATCATGGGGGTTATTTATTTATTTATTTATTTTGACAAACAAGGATGACAGTGTGCTCTTGTGTGCCGCTGCGTCCCCACAGGGATGTTCCCTTCCATGTCCGAACAATTCCCGGGCCGGCTGCATGCTGGGTAAAGAGCCCAGAGGAACTGGTGCCGTGTCCTTAAATGCATCACGATAAATGCGACCTGACAGAGATTGCTTTACACACACAGGGTAATGTCCAAGGATCCACTTCTGTTTCATCATCATGTACGTTAAACGACAGCACATTTAAGGAGTCAAAGCAGCCATTATAATAACAATGCATTTATCACACAGCATTACCATAACACATTTCATATTATTCACTCTATTTGGAAAAGGCTGATTATTTTGACTCAGAGTTGATATTAAACTCTACATGCATGGTTCCCCTTTTCCCTCATGGAATGGTCATAAAACCGTGTCTTACATTTTTGGTGTGTTGTGACATTTCTCGTGCATTTGCTAATTCTGTGGATTATATAACTGCTGCTATACGCATTCTGTAAATATTTAAGACAGTTGCATGCAAAGGCAAATCCACACTGAGAGAAACAATGTCATATCTATGATGACTGCCACCATGTTTGATAACTAGATGATTTGTGACAGTTTCTGGGAAGGACACATCCTGTTATTGTCCTAATCCAGCATTTTAGAGTCGGTGAAGCACAAGACACAGACACATACAAGAGGCTTTAGAGGAAGCTGACTGCCTCTTCTGATCTTTTCCAGATTCATCATTTTCTTTACAGTGGGACAGAACTGTCTTTTTCAGCGCACTTCCCTACCCAGCTGTCTCGGCCACTCTGAGCTGATCTTTGCCATCTACACACACGTCTGTACTGCTGCTGGATTATCCTGGAATGCCCCATATTACCCTGTATTCCTCTCACTGACTGCCCAGTTGACTTCAGTCCTTACTGTCCACCCAACTAAAAACAAACAGCAGCTGGCCAGGAGAAACTGCAGGAAGACATTTGTTTTTATAAAGTGGATATGGAGAGAGCAGGTTTGTTTTGCTGGAAGTGGTTCTCTTCCTCTCTCGCCTTGGCCCTGGGCTGTGGGCCCTTTCAGGGCCTGGCTGGTAGTGTGGAGAAAGGAGGTGGACTGGCTGTCAACTGGATCCACTGGCAATAGGAGCCTCCGGCCCAGCCTGAACCCAGGCAGTTCACAGACACCAGGGCAGTCTGCCTTCACCCTACTGACGTCAGTCACCGACAGACCACAAGACTTGTGTTAGAGTTTCAAACAAACCCGCTGCCCATTGCCATGGTAGTATGGACCACCACCATGGAAAACGCTGGTCCGCGTCTGTGCCCGTGTTTACCATAAACAGTCGCCTCATTTTTGCTGAATCTAAAGGAAGAGGATGATGGTTCAGGTTTCTTGTAATCCAGACATCCACAAACTCCAAAGTAAACACAATTAAACCAGTTTCATTAATTATGCATCACACATACTGTAAATTTAAAAAAAATTAAAGTTAGTGCATTTTGCATTGTGTCAGGAACAAAGTGATCACTCAGCGCTGGTCCATTCCCAATTTTCTGTCCTACGAGGTCATTTACACAGCTAAATAATGAGTCCTTTTAAAACCTTGGTTAATGATATTAAATAACTGGCAGAGTTTTAAAAGACAAGCATTACTCTGTATCTCAGCAGGTGAGCTGAGAACTAGTGACAGTACGACAGTAAGTGTTATATCCATTGAGGTTTATCAACCCTAAATCAACCCGCGAAATCTATCACTACAAAGACTAAAATTATAACACCTTGTCAGGAGAGCAACTGAGCTTTTATATCATACGAGATTACATCTGTAAACGTATTTAGTGAAGTTCCCCCTCATCTGTTTTGTTGAAACTGAAATCTGTAAAAGCCATCTCATGGCTTTATGTGTGCCCTCCTGTTGATCACGTATTCCAGATGCTTATCTACTTGGGTCAAGGTGCTCATGGCCATGGGAGAGTGAATGCCCTGAGGGCACAGCACATAGCATCACTATCTCTACCCTTCCTGTTTACTGGCTCAGCATCCAGCAGTTACTCAACTCAAATCCGAGGGAAGACGTGTCACTGGTGTCACTGCAGGGAAGTGACTTCAGATTGAATCGAGTTGTTTTCTTTTATTTCCACCTGGTTTTCCCCACAGAGTGGCAAAACTGGAACCGTGACGTGAACAAAACCACATCAGTCACTGTATTGTAACTGCAGGATCATGTTTGTGAATGTGACTCTAAAGATCAACTTAAATTGTGTTGCATAAAACACGGGACACGCCTAGCTGCCTTTTAGTCACATGTAGGTAAAAAGTCTAACATTTCATCACTCCTTCCCCGGGCTAATGCAACAGCCAGGATTAAAATAATTGATATATTCATGACTATATAATTCACCAATTCTTAGGATTTGTTTAATGAAATAATCCAATAACACACAGAGCAGAAAATTCTGTAATACATGCCCATTTTAATAATCTGATAGAAAACATTTGTTGAGCACAACATACACCATTTACCATATATTGTGAGGAAAACACTGAAAAAATATATTTGAAACAATGTTATATATTTCAGCAAATATTCCTATAGCTGTACAATGACCAGTCACCGTACACAATATACTGCAGCAAATATCCAGCCTTCATAATCCACCAGGAACAAAAGACAAAAACTAAAGCCAGACTTCTTCTGCACCTAACATAAGGTGTTGTTGGTTCAGACTGTACAAACATCTTCTGGCTGGAATTTTAAAACCAAACATACATTTCAAATTGTCAAAATTGATCTGCATAACTTCATGTTATGGTCTTATAAACCAAACAGCAAACAGCTTGTGAAATACAATAAGTCAGAACCACCATACAAGTTCAGTCAAACCGTGATTTGACATGTGGTAGTGAATATAAATAATAACAAATATACAGGGAATATTAACAATCAATATCAATATAATCATATACAAGAATAAGATAATAAATACACTGTTACAAACAGCTGAGGGGTCAGCACATCACAGCTGGGTGCAACAAGATTGTGCAACTCTGTGACCACTTCACACGCACTCACACACAAGCACACACACACACACACACACACACACACACACACACACACACACACACACACACACACACACACACACACACACACACACACACACAGGAAATATCATGTCATGACACGATATTGACCCAGCCCCCCTATTCCTATTTCTATTCTGAGGGTTGCACCTTACAATGTGGTACCTTTAAGGTAGTGTTGGACAGATCAGCAACCAGCTGCCAAACTGTCGATTTATTCAAAGTGCTGGAATAAAAACTACAAGATACAATTAATCTATCGCTAACAGGTGTCTTTAAAATGTGCACACAGTCTTACAGTCATTCAAAGTTTAAAATGGGTCACGGTGTAAAGTGTATTCACGAGGATGGAATGCTGTTAATTACAACAGGTGTGAGCTGATGACAATGGGAATTACAAGGTGGTAACAGATTTCCCATACTGGAATAGCTCAGCACAATACAAGGTGAGGGGATTGTTGGATCTTGGATATTTTTGGTGATATTTCCCTTTCATTTGCCTGAACTCTTTATCCAGCAACAGGAAGATACAAGGGATCAATTTGGCTTCTGGTTGGAAGTTTGACTTGTTGTCTTCAAGTGTGGGATCACACTTTTCAGAGGTGGCAGTGAAATCATCAAAGAGCTTTTTTTACAGGATCTTTGGAGGTTTTTTTTTTTAAAGATGTTTTTGGACTCAAAAATACAAAACTTTGCTCCACTTTCAAGTAATATAGTCTATGACTTACTTAATTGTTTATGAATGAATGATTATTGGGGAATAAACTTAAATTATTCTTTTGGTTTCACATGTTTACTATAATGTTTTCTGTAAAATACTGATACTTTCCACTCTCTTCGTCCTTTGCCACAAAGTGCAAATTGTGCTGGGAAGTCAGCTGATTTTAGAAATACATCCACTGGATGCTTTTGTGAGAACAAGCTTATACTATTGCCAGAACATTAGGAAGACTGTGTGAGACAAATATGTCCTTTTGTCAAAAATTTGACACATTTTCCAGCTACATGAATGTGTTCAATAAATTATAAAAACACGTACAAAAAGACACTGTTGTTTAAAAAAAAAAGGCACATAACTTTGTTTTTTTTTTTAGACAAGTGTTAGAAAAAACTACTTGTTTACAAATAACTTGCTGACCAGTAGTTTTGGTTGGACACTTAACCAGGTGGCATCCGATCGCGACACAATACAAAGAATCGTAATGAACATAAAAAACGTCCTGAAGTGCAAAGTTTGGAATTTATACGAGTCCCAGTACACGGATACATATCGTCCACTTCACTTCCTTTGTGAGAACCAAGATTCAGCCCTGCCTCTGCAGCACGACAGTAGTCCCTTCTTTCAAGATCAGTCGCTACGCTCTTCCAGCTCCCATCTAGGGGGCTCAAAAACAAACTGCCACAGGGTTTCCCAGCCTCGTTTGCAGGGGTGCCCCACATTCAGTCAGGCCCTCTTTGCCAGGCAGCTCCAAAGAGCCAGATTGCAGGATTGCTCCACTGCAATTCAATGAACTCAGCCAAAACAGCAAAAAAACCTGCTGCACTCAAAGAACACCATCAGTTCAGCTATGTTTCTGCTGGGGAGACGTCACGCGTCTCTGTTTCTACCCCGTCCGGATCAGAGGGATGGTCTTGGAGTGTCACGCTGTCAGCTGTCTCCATCATCCCGCTCTCACTGTCCCCATCTTGGTCATCCAGCGTCAGTTCAAACTGAAATTTACTCGCCGCAGGTCCCCCCTCCACCTCCCCATGTGGGCCGCCCTCCCCATCGCTAGTGTAGAAGGGAGGGGAGGGACTCTGGGGGATCATGCTCTGGTACCAATTCCTGTTGTCCTCCAGTGTGTCCAGGATGTCCTGGGCATCAGGGTGGACCAGGTCAGCCCACGTCTCCCATAGAGGGTGGACTATATAGTCAATAAAGCCAACCTAGAAAAGATAACCAGCGGCAATGTCAGTAAAAATAAAAAAAAAATAACAATATTAACTTGTTTTTGGAGCTAGATGTGTGTGTTCTCTACCTGTGTTCTCTCCACCGAAGCTGTGTGTTTGTCGCACATGGGACTGATCTCCATGCCCCTCTCCCTCTCTCTGTCTCCCTGGTGGAAGAACTCATCCATGATTCTGTCTGTCCACTGCCGGTACAGATCCAGAGGCTTGGTTGGGTTGCTCAGGTCCGCACAGTGAACCATGTTACGCAAAACCTGCAGAAAAAAATAAATAAATTGAACATCTTGCATCTCTTTTGTGTGTACCAGACTGTCTTATCGTGTGTGCACAAGCGTGCCTCTTACCTGCATCCTGTCTGTGTAGTTATCCAACAGCAGGACTCCAGAGCTGGTCACTTTCTTAGTTTCCACCATCGTCTTCAGATTAGCCAGCAGGCTCATGTGTTTGGACATGTCAGTTGCCAATACCTGGAAGAGAGAAATTATGATGTATGATGTAAGAAATGATTTAGGAAGGAGGCAATAAAGTAGTCAAGACATCACTCTGAAAGCTAAAACTGGCCAGTAGCTTCACACAGACATGCAGACGTTTCCTCACCATGTCTATGACCATCCTCCGGAGTGTCTGCCTCTGCTTCTTGGTGAGGTTTTGGAAGATGTCGCAGTTCTCTTCCTGCAGCAGTTTGAAGCCCACGGCCAGGTGGTGGTTCTCCAGCACTGATTCATCGTTGTACATCAGAGCCAGCTCTGAGTCTATAAAGACAGAAGGGGGGAGGGAGGGAAAAATGACAGGAAGGAAGAAATTAAATGCAATGTGTCGAAAAACCCACGTTGTTGCCTTTGGAGACAGATCCCAGTAAACCATGCAAATACTTCTGCCTATTTTATAAATGTAGACTTAACAAATCAGTGTCATGGAAGTGTGTTGACTTTTTTTGTTGGGCAACAAGTTCCAGTAAAAGAGGACTTACTGGTGTTGATGAGGAACTGGTTGGACACCCCTGGGTGGTCCACGTCGTGAATGGCTGCAGCAAAAATGGCTGCCAAGATCTCCAGATCAGTAAAGACCGCCTGCGTTTGAAGAGAAGGAAGAAAAATAAAAAGAGGTGAGATTCACAGTCAATAAACTGGCCAAACAAGGTAAGGTATTAGAGAATAGTTTAAGGACAATCCTTCCATGTGTCATCCTCTCGGGCATGTAGTTTTTGGAGGCATGCCAGTATTGATGACAGTAATGCCACCAGCCACCTCATTAAATCATAATACACAACTTGAGAAAAAGGTGTGGGTGATGGTGTCACACTTAAAAAGGTGTCAGGTAAGTAACCAGAACTTAATTTAACAATGAATAAAAGCAAAAGATATCTAAAATGTTGCTATTTCAGACTGTGCTTTGTAAGCATCGGAAAAAGTGACTTACATCGAGTGCGGGCGTGGAGAGGAGGATATGCGTGGACTGGGCTACATCAGCGGCGTGCAGGCTGTTGTGGTAGGCCACGTCGGAGTGATAGTGGCCCTCCAGGGTCAGCATGAACGTCACAAAGGTGTCCGTTGGAATCTTGAACGTCCTCATCAGGTCTCGCTCCTGCGTGCGACACACAGGAAGAAAATTAGAAAAACAAGACCTTTAACAGCGAGAAGTGACTCCTTACTAAAGAAAAGTTACAGCACGTTAGTTGTGCTTTAAAGCATCTCTTTACAGCAGACACAGTCGACAGAAGACTGCTGAGCTGACCTTAACATTTTATTTTGAATATTCTGTAAACTGTGAATCATATACTACAAAAAAGGGCTGAAATTAATACAATTTGCTCTCCTGCCAGGATGATTCACAGCTAGAAATCAATTTCAGCTGCTAATGTCCCTCTAGCAGATGTCACTGACAGCTGAACGTAACAAAGAACATACTGTACACACCGACGTGGGCTGTGCCTCATGCCTTCTATAGCCGTGAGTGTATGTATGAACGTTTCACGTGTTTTTTTTAATGAGCTCCGTTTGACCTGATGAGGAGGTGGAAGACAAAAAAGGATAAAGAGGCATGGCACTGACCTGAAAGATGGTGTACATGATGCACGTGAGCGGTCGGTTATGAGAGTGCTCTGCCACTCTGAAGATATTCAGGCCCCATTTGTTGATATCCTCCAAGTCCTGTTAGAGAGACAGACAAGAGGACCGTAAGTGTCTCAGCTTATCACACAATTCTGTTGTGGTTTTTTTTGCCTGCTGTACAATCTGTCCAACAATTACCTTGGACAGCAGCTCCTCCTGGTCCGTCTTGACCCCAAAGCGATTGCCGGAGCCTCCAGAGATGCTGGGCGTATGGCTGACCTTCCTCACCCCACTGATCTGAGTCATCATCCCACCCTGCTGCTGCTGTTGCTGCTGCTGCTGCTGCTGCTGCTGGCCCTGCCTCCTCTTCCTTTCCCTTGACTTAGGAACTGGACACGGAAGCTCAAGCTCATTCTGCTTGTCTGGAGAAAATGGAAGACAAAAAAAGATGGGGGAATAAGAAAAACAGATTTAAAAGGTGTTTTTTAGTCACTCCAGAGACAAAGACAGACTAGGCTCAGGGATGTGGGATAAGCTGGGCTTGTGTTGCCACTGTACTGAGTAGACAATGTTAACATGGGGAGATAGTTGACCTCTCACACCTACGTGACAACACATTAAAGTTGCACTGACAGTTGTTTAATTAGCAAGCAATCCTTCAGTTACAGTTTACTTTGCTGAAAATCGAATTTTCTCGACAGCGAAAAACAAAGAAAATGTAAACTTAAATAAAAAAATATTGACAGAAAAGGTGATAAGAATGTCATAATGACATATAAGGGTCAAGATGTGCTAATGAGATGTTATGAAATCTGACAATGCTCCTGTGGCCCGTGCATTCTGAGAAACTGAGCTGCATTGTAATAACAATCCACAGAATCATGGAAAGCTGGCTCATACTAAGCCAGAAATGTTTAGGGGAGGGCAGACTGGTTAGTATGCGGGTTTGTTTGGTGCATGTGATGCACTACGCAACTGACACTGTGTATGTGTGTGAGTGCAAGACTCCCCCGGTCTGTATATGTGCACCACATACACCGCAGTGAGAAAAAAAAAATATCTCAGCTGCATCCTCTACAAAGCACAGGACGAGAATGATCTCACTACACCTGACAGGTGTTAGCTGCAATGCAGATGACAACAAAACCACTAAGCTTCAAAGATAAGCCGAGTTTTTCTCTGTGCTCTTGTGTTTGCCTCTTTTCCCCAAGCAGCTCTATCATGCAGAAACATCTCTTTCACTGCACCACTTCTATTGTTAGGTATAGTTTTCTTCACAATGCATCCATCGCCTCTGTTCCCTCTCAGGTTTTGCTCCACTGAGGTGAGAAGACAGAGGTGTGTTTACTAGCAAAAGCAGAACCTTAGTGTGCACACAGCCCTGATAAGCTGGCTGGCTGGGTGTATGCTGGTGGTGGTTGGATGGGAAGGTGGAAAAGCTGTAGGGCAGAATGGCAGACTGGCTGGCTGGCTGGCTGGCTGGCCGTGAGTCACAAAACGCCGTTGGGCTTTTAAGAGACAAGGAAACACTGCTGTCCTCCTGATGAATAATGCAGTGTCTATCTGGACCTGGTGGTACACAAACATTTTCCCTCTCCCATTGCCCCTGATCTGTCCTCCCTCTAAACCTCACAGTTGGAATGAGGGGACTCTCTCTCCTCAGACCAGATCAGACTGGTTTGAGAGCAGTGGAGCAGACCAACTACGAGTTTTACTGTGACATGCTTCGGATGCCCTAAAAACATCTGGCACACACAGACCTATAGAGGTGGCATGTGATGGCACATTGCATACTTCAACGTGCGTGTGTGTGTGTGTGTGTGTGTGTGTATGTGTGTGTGTGTGTGTGTGTGTGTGGTGGGGTATTTGTGTGTGAATAAATACTGCAGTGCTCACCTAGGAAGGTGTTGGAGATGTACTCTGACACTTGGTTGCCTGAGCGACTCATCTCAGACAGGTGGCTCAGCTCCCGGTTCAGCATCCTCTTGAACTGGAGGAACAGAGATAAAAAAAATCATGGGGTTAAATTAAGGAAATACAAGGAAATACACATTCATTACATCATTTTACTGCTACTTCCGAGCAGAGGAATGAAGTATTTCCTGTTATTTTCCACTGGAATATGTCCCATGAGAACATGCGCTTTATAAGGTCTGTGTTTATGTCTTCTTGGTCCTGTTTGAGTTAGCCATTAAGACACTTGACTGCCTCGCATTTCAACAAACAAAACACAGTGCATAATATACAAACTACAGTGTTGAATGTTTATGCTGAATTCTTCCAGGGAAACAAGATGCAGCAGTTTTTCTCAGTGCACGCAAGTCTAATCTAATAAAGTGTGTAATCGAAAACATTACAAAATCAATGTGGGAAATCAGACATTTCCCCAGCTGCATTGACAATACATGAATATTCAGTACGTCTCACACACACACACACACACACACACACACACGTACACGCACACGCACTCTATTTTTCTCTGGGACACACCTTGATGTATCCCCAGGACACAGAGAACAGGTAGTTGGCCTCAGGCATGGTGCTGTGCTGTGCTGAGCCCCTGGTGCTCCTCAGCAGAAGCCCTGTATGCTCCTCTCTGAGTGGACCCCCAAGGCTGAGCTCAGCCCTACAACCTGAAGCTCAAAGCACCACGAAATTCCCGCCTTCCAACGGTCGACTACAGTAAAAATGCCCCAGTTGAACTCTCCAGAGTGGGTCTGTGGCAGACCCCTACATCCCCGGCCAAATGCGCTTTCTCATAGCGTCGCCCACTGTTTTCCAGGATCGCAAGTCGCTGGCGAGAGTGATGGAATTCCCCTGGATGCAATCAATATTTCCTTTCCTTTTCTCTGGTGCTTGCTGCCTCGGTCCGTCTCTCTAAACCTCTTTCACCTCCTGCCACCATCCAAATGTTATCCAGTGACATACAAGGGGGAAATCCAGCCTTCCCAAGCCCAGATGGAGCAAGGCAGGGAGGAAGGGCAAGCTCTAAGACAGACGGAGAAGGGAAAGGAGGGACGGAGAGAGGAGGAGGAAGAGGAGGGGGGAGAGCTCTAGCTGTAGAGTCCCCTGTGGCACACAGGCTGATGGAGCCTTCTCTCTCTCTCTCTTTCCCTCCCACCCTCTCTAAACACTGAGCAATGCACAGCACTGCAGAAAATGGGAGTTTGGAGAATCCCCCCACATCTTTCTCTCTCTCTCTCTCTCTCTCTCTCTCTAGTCATTTCTCTCTTCTCCCTCCTCTCTGCTAACCCCCTCCCACTGTCTCTTTCACCCCCCAACCTCTGTTTTCCTCCCTTCTCAATCCGCTCCCCCTGCTCAGTAATGCAGAACAGATCCAACGCATACTGCGCAATGCAAGGCTTCAAAGAGTGTTTATCACATGTGTGAGGAGACGCTGGGCATTCATTTACCAGATTGTGTCTTTTTTGGACATTGCAGGAGTAGAACCATACACTGCTGCACAAACTTCAGTCCACAGTCACCACAGTACATTTTAAAAGACCTATTCTTGTTCTCATTTTCAGCCATTGTTCACAATATTTTCCAAAAACAGCAATATTCTGTCTCACTGCAGCAGTTTTCTGTATTGAAAGACACAAACAGAGATGATGGGAGACAAACAGATGAGAGACTTTTCAGTCTGCCGCCCACCAGAGTACCACCAATTGCACGACAACCTGAACGCCATGGCAACAGAGTCACGTGGCCCCCCCTCCATCGTTCTCATGGTGGTCCCCACTTTAAAGTCATTGCATCACATCACACACACACACGCACACACACACACACACACACACGCAACACGCATGAACAACCACACACGCATTCAAAACACAGTCTTCAACAGAGATGCTCTAGAGAGACACAACTAGACGAGACGTTGCAGAAAAACACAATCGCAGGCACAATTTCTGTTTCAGAAGGTAGATTCTGATGCAAAATGGCTTTTTTGTCAGGAGAAGAAACACTAATGCACAACCACATCCTAATCTTTATAATGAATACAATGGAATAATGGTGCAATTAATTCTTTTTCTTGATAATGATTGATGTGAATGATTGTAGTTTCCTGTTTTTATAATGTCTTCAAACACTGTAAGAAGAAAAAGCCAGCAATGAATATGCTTTTTGCCAGGGCTCTTTATTTCTTACAATGGGGTCTTTTCTCTTCAAACTGAACCAGACTCTCTCTGGTCTCAACAGCTGTCTAATAGCTGTCAAGCAGACAGCTAACATCTACTTGACTGTGAAACTTGAATACCACTTTCAAAGCGCTGGCTGCACTCAAAACCCAGACTGCCAGAGGCAGTCCATAAAAATCAAAGAGAGCTCGTAAGGACAAAAATTTGAGCTTGGAATCGGAAGGCTTTATTCCATTCAAAGGGAACTTGTAATTGATTCTTTAAGGCAGCAGAAAAGTGTGGATTTGTGTGACTTCTAGGAAATGAATCAGGCACAGAGCCACATGTCAGTCACCCAGGGTCATGTAGTTCAGCTTAGACACACAGCATACGCTCACGACATGGTGACAAGTCTATGAGTGTTCTCAAGAGAATAGATTACTCAATGCATGCAGTTAAGTCATACATCCTTTTACGTTAGCAAAGACTCACACTCAGAACAAAACCTTGTTTTGGGTAACCTAGAGAAGTTACATAACCAAAGAACTTGGTTAGTTCTTAGAAGATGAACGCAGAAGCTGATGCCTCATAACATTTGAATATTCAAAATAGGTGCACACTGAAGTCATTGTCTTGCAAATAGCAACGTAAATAATATGTTTAGGTGTAAACCAAAAAACTGTTTACACCTGAACCCATTTAAATTAAAACAAAAAGCTTGTTAAATCTTTGTAATCTAATCTTATTAAAACTTAAAGTATTTTTAAGACAAGTATTCCACCATATTACCAACTTTTTTTGTTTTACTGAATCCTAAAACTAACAAGACAGGGAAATCTCAATGTAATGAGTAAAAAAGCAAACTAAATTAATTATTTAATGTTTAATGTATGTTTTCTAAAAGACAAAAATACCTTAGGTCAAATCAATTAATCTATTCTTGGATAAATTACACTCTCCACAACGAAGACCACACTCCCACAGCACAGTGTAAGAGGCTCCACAACTAACTCACCTTTTTCCAACTCGTAAGCATCCCAAAGTTTTTCTTCTGCTTTTCAGAACAACATAGTCCCATTGTCACTTAACATAAAAACAAACACAACCTGAAAAGAAATGCTGTAAAGTTCTATGAGCAATAACTCTGTTCAGTGTGTCCGAGGCGCTTGCCTGCTTCCTCTCTCTCTATTCTTGTTTCTGAAGTGGAGTCAGGCAGGAAACATATAGCGATAAAGCTGACTTGACTTGACTGGCCTACACAGTCTAACAAGAGATCAATGGCTCCTCCCTCCAACACAGGCCTGAGCATGTGTCTCCACCTACTTCCCTTTTTCTTAATCGAGTAATTCACTGAGGTCACTTACTGGTAGACATCCTGCTTCCTAACATGGCCTCAGGCACCAAACAACTAACATACCTGAGCTAATCACTGAAAAGTCCCAAATAACAAGTTTAGCAGATAGCCGTGTTGACATGATGTGAAGGGAAATCAGAGATGACATGTATGTATGTGGGATGAGTCTTTAAAATTTGTTGTTTTTTTTGGAGTTTTTACAGTACACTGACCTTGACTGAAAAAGAGCAGAGATAGAAATGGAATTGCACAGGAACAGCTTGACATCATAATGCAATACCTCGGCTGTGCAATCTGACAAGCCCAGAGTGATCCAATGCTGCCCCTGTACCGTGTATGGCCGTTTACAGTGTCAACACACATGGATTATGCCTCGTGAGTTTTCATAGTTTGGCAACATTAGAAAGACACATTTCCTAGAAGGTAGTGATGAAAACTAGGTAAGAATAGGGTTACAATAAAAGCAGGTTTCGTATTTACCTCCCTCATTCTGGCTTATTTTCCATGATAACAGCAGATTACAGAGGTAAGACTTTTTAATTACAATTAGGTACCATAATCACTACTGCAGCTTGGCTGATCTCCTCACCGCCCTTTCAGTCAAACTGAATCACAACACTATAATTTAATGTCCATTACCCCTGCTACTGCTACAGACCCACCGCTACATCTGTTTCAATAATTTTGTCATTTTTTCCCCTCTGAAGATGGCGGTGCTTCAAAGTTGAAGTGACCACACGTGAGTTAAAGTTTCCTACAGGCTCGCGCTCTGCTCGGGGGCTCGCTTGCACGCTAACCCGCAAAGCGCTAAACCCCCTCTAACTGGATTCAGATGGCAGTGTTTGTCCAAGGTCGTCACCAGCATCAGCATGGAAGTGTGGCCAGGCTAATGATAGTGAGGGGCAGGGAAGCAGCTCCCCGCTCTGAGGTCACAGCGACCAGGCTGGCGGTCAGCAGGGTGTGTGGTCCCATAGCCCCGGATACACCTGTGCCCTTGGATACTGAAAGTGGAGACACCCTGGGTTTAATCTGGTTCCGAAAAGAAACGGGCTCTTTGTCAAACATCACGTCATGTAAACGCTAGGAGGGGGCAAAAGCCTGAAGATGCTGTATTAATGGTGCAATAATGAAACCGTTTTGACACCAATTTGGCAATAAAAACGTGAATGGACCAATAAATGATTTCTTTCCATCCCTGTACAATTGCACAACCATCTAGCACAGTGACAAATTTAAACTAACATTATAAACTGTCGACCTCCACTCTTTCAAAAACAGCATTGGTCAACAATGATTAGTGGTGGTACTGGGGCCATGCTGACTCTGACTCACGGCGAACAATGTGCCCGTCCTGCCTGACCGAGCGGCTGTGCTGCTGTGTGCCTGCAGGGCCTTGTGCTCATTGTCTTGACAGTCCCAGTGACGTGGTTATTTGTAAAGACTCAACCTGGCTGTGTGGTCAAAGCGCTGCTATTGTCGTCTGGTAACCAGGGAGCAGCAGAGAGGGGGCAGCAGGGGGCACGGGAAATAAAGAGACAGGAAACTGGTGTCACGGTCACAGTCACCCGTCACAGTCTGACAGCACCCCTCCCCATCCCAATCCTCCCTCAGACCACAGTGTAGAATACAGACGGAAATGGACAACACCACCCTGGGTGTTTATAATCTGACGCCGCCACACAGTCTCCACTGTCTGTGTGGGGGTTGAGCAATACTCTGCACTGTATAGTAATTTGGTAAAGCTCTGCACAAATTAAATATGCATGAAAAAAAGTAATTAGGGAAAAGGGAAGTATTTAGTTCTTCTTTGTGTAGTCTTGAAGTACCACAATGTGTTTACTGAGATTCACTTAAACCAAACCAGAAAGCTGACTTAAAAAAAGAAAAGAATTATTTTATCTGTCATGCCAATTGATGAGAATGGATTCTTTATCTTTTTTGCCACAGTAACAGGGATGGAAATGTCTATTTGTTTATTGGAATGGATATTTTTATAGACATTCATGGTGCCCGGAGGATGTTCCAATGACTTTTGTGATCCCCTGACATTTCCTCTAGAATAATCATGAGGGTGACATTTTTATTTTTCCTTTTCTTAAGAAGTATTGGATTGCTTGTCATGACGTTTGGTGCAGACATTCACGTCCCCCTCAGGATGAATTGTAATAACTTTCTATATAGCACCACCATCAGGCCAAAATTCCAAAGAGCTGCTGGCATAACTGAAGATTCTAAGAGATTTTTGTTAAAAAAAATTATTTCAATAACTTGTAAAGTACTTTTCTAAAGCCTTTCTATAGTGTGCTCCACATATTTTTTTCTTCAATTCAATATTGGCTTACTTCAAGTAATTCGCATTTCATCCCATTAATATGCAGAATGTATTAGCCAAGCAGTTGATGCAGTTCAGCCACATTTCCCTGCTAGTGACAGACAGTATGTTTAAGTTTGGCCACTTGTCAACATAGAAATAGTCCTCCATCTGAGGAATGTAGCTTTCTAACATCTATGTTGGCATTTCTAGTTTCCTGACATGCTAGTAGGTGAAATAAATATGGTAACATGTATTGTTTTCACTGACCACACTGCAAAGTGCCCTCTGCTCCTTTGTTATATATTGTATTGTTACATGCAATATTGTATATGTCTGCATATTTGTTAGCAATGCAGAAATGTTTGATCTGACACAACTCTGACACAAACATCAGCCATTGTTGTAGCACTACTTCCTTGATGAAACGCAGACATACAGTTGAAGTGACCTTGTCTGCTCCATAGCTAGTGGAAGACTATTAATACATAAGGAGAATAAGTGGAGTGCTTTCAACTGGTGGTCTCAGCAGCACACAGAGTAATGAGGAAGCACAATGTACCTGCCAGTGAAGTATACCTTTAAAAAGACAGTATGAACTTTCCTCTAACAAGTCTTCAGTTTCTCTGTTAATCCTAAACTATACTGTGGTCCACTTTCTCAAGTGAAGTCATCATAAAAAGTCACATTGTCCAATGTCCCACTAAGCTGGACATTACAAAAGAGCAAACATCCACATCACACTAAAATGAATGACAAATACATCTGTGTGCATTTTAAATCATATTACATGTCCATCTGAAGCTCAGCCCGTCGTATAACATGCCATAATAAGGTGAGGAAATTGAAGCAGAAAAACGCTTTCCATGGAATACAGGCATTTATGTTATTCAAAGATAACAGGAACTCGGTAGTCATGTATGCAAAACAAACACTGCTCATACTTTTTTTTTTTTTATCCATAAAATGATGATGCCAGCTCAATCACTATCACAGAACAGCTGTTACTTTGCAAGTGCGTCAATGTGGCAAAAGGCAATTTACATTTTGCATACACTGTGCAAATTGACAGCCACACTGCAACAAAGACCAATTGTACAGCTGTGTGTAAGTCAGTCAGGTCATCATGCAGTTCAGTCATATTGTGTCTTCTAACAGCGTACAGCAGAATACATACTGTGATGATAATCATTTTGCAATATTGAACATCTATTAGATAATACTGAACCTGTGATATTACCGTATGTAAATTTTGGTTTGGGGGACATGACACTATAAAGTGGCAGTGTGCTGTCTTCCTTTGAGGTCTTATGGTGATTATCATCTCAGTGGATAGAGCAGCCAAAGACAAAGATGTATTCAAAGTTGCACTGTAAGACATTATCATATATACCATGAAGAGCATATGCATGATTCCCTTCAGCTAAACATGACACTAAAATGTTTTGTTTTGAAGTAAAAAATTTATCTTCCATAACAGGCAGCTCAAATGAAAATCAACATCAAAAACTGCAATTCCAAAACAAAAGTCCCATCCATCAGAGGACAGACTTTTTAAAATTCACGTTACTGGACATATGGATGCAAAAACGTCTTATAAACTTCACAAAAGCACTGGTTGCACATTCACATACAATGCTCTATAAAATATAAGCTAAATTCTCCTACCTTGTTGGAGGCCATGTCGCTAACTGAGCGGTAGGTCTGGATGGTCTCCAACTGGTCCAGACACCAGTCCAGCTCCTCCATGGTCTCCATAGCCAGCTTCTGGTAGGACTCATCTGCCAACAGACACATGGACACGTAATCAGGCCCAAGAGGATCCATGTCCATAGCGGAGCCCCCCGACACCATGCGTGGAGGTCCGAGGGTCCCAGAGTGGCTTGATCTTACGAAGGACTGGCCTGCAGGACATCCGGAAGACGCAGAGGAAGAGGGGGAGGTGTGTACACAGAGCTCCTTCATCTTTTTACAGTCCACCACCTCAGAAAGTTCAGGGAAGTAGTAGTCTCAGACAAACTAAGGCTAGAGTTAGTGTTTGCCGACTCTCTCTGTAGTCTCTTTCAATCCATATCCCCCTCTTTCCCTCGCTCTCGTGTGCTCTTCAAACCCCCTCCCACTCTGTCAGGTTCCCCCGCCCCTCTTGTTCGCTGATCCCCCCTCTCTGTTCCACTTTGTTGAACGAGTGGCGTGCAAACTAGGCGGTCTGCTGCCTCCTGCTGTTGATGTGTCTATGACCCCCCCTCCCATTTAAACACATACAAATATTGTGTACATAAAGGTTCAGTACACAAACCCACTACCCGAAGAGGGGCTTTTGGTGAAAGAGACCCAGCTGGCTTTGCTTTTACTCCCTTCATGATGTTTCTGACCCAAACAAGTGCATCTCTATGATGTCTAATACATTAAAACTATGGGGGGAAGAAGAATAGAAGGGGGGTGGAGTTAGAGAGAAAAACCTTTACGAACTTATTCAATGCACTTTGTCACTTCTGCAAACCGCTCCAACCCCCTCCACTCACGGTGACTTCCTCTTTGAAACATGCAGACCACTTCAAGGCTGTACTCTGCTGAACTGCAGCAGCAGCAACTCACACCACACCACCATGCTTCACAAACTGGCTCTCTCCTCTATGAACCTCTCTGAGGGAGAAAAAAAAAGTAAATTAAACACCAAACTCTGTGTTTGCACAAGCAACACGAGAGGCAAACTTTGACTCAGAATTGGGGGGGGGGGCTAGGCCAGGGGCTCACCGTGTGCCAAAGAAACCAAAGCACTTCCTCTTTGGCCCTGAACCCACACAAAACATGGAGCGGAATTACTGAATGGTGGAATGACTACTGAGGGCAATCATAGCTGTCATTTCATGAAATAGCTCTGTCGTTAGCAGCTATGACTTATATGTGGTAGACGTACAAGTTTTAGAAGGAAAGAAGTGGTTTATGTGAAATGCCCTGAGATGACAAAACATGGAGAAATTAATTAAGAAGGATTCTTCTCTGATATACCGGGCAGAATGTTGATTCAACAAATTTCTGCCCGGAGGGAGTGAACCCTGTGCGCATCTGGATCTCTCCACCTTCTTTTTTCTATGGAAAAGACTGATCTGTACTTCATAGGGATTCACACATGGAAGAAATTTACCCCATATGCTTAGCACAACAGGACAGCCAGCATGCTGCTCCCCAATTTACGTCAATATAGTGGATCAAAGTACTTCAAAGCACAGTGATGGCGCACAGACTCTGAACCACCGGTGTGAACTTCAATGAAATCTCAGACAATGTGCATTTGAAGAAACCTCCCACCATTGAAAGATATCAGAAAACCATGATAACAGTGACTCTTCTGAATCAAAAAGGAGAGTCAAGTTTCAACAGTCTAAGCCTGACTGGGGTTTTTAGAAATCAGGCCACTGGTTCCCCTCAGATTACACGAGCGCGACTGCTAGCACTAGACTCATTCCTCAGGTCAGACCGATTTTCCTTTACTTCAGCTCCAGGTTGGAGAATTCAAAGAACCCTTGGCTACAATATACCGCTGGACGCCAAGCTTCGTGGTCCAAACTATTCACAGGAACCACTGGCATCCAAGCCATGTAAAAGTCAGTGACACAGAGCAGAAATCAAAGCAACACATGCACAAGGCGGCAAGCTGTTGAAACTGGGTATACACCAATGTGCGGCCGTCTTGAGCCATAGGGGTAGGAGACGTTGCCAAGAAGGTGTGACCACATCCTGCCCACATTCCCTTCAATGAGGGCATATAGACACATTAACGACATTTTAACGGGGAAGTCGGGAAACATCAAAGGCTTGGCATATCCCTACTGCCTGTATGACCAGGATTCAGGTCATTTTGAAACTGGCGGCTGATTCATATACAGAGTCCAGAATCTGATGGCAGTAAAAACCCTCAGATGTAGACTGGAGAACAAAAGTTTACTGGTTTTGGTGTCTGGCTTTAAACCACTTGCCTACAGCAAGATCACTGAAGCAGAGCTTCACGATCTGTTGTGTTTTATAAAAATGATAACAGCTGGACTTGGGGACTTTTTCCTCTAACATGACTCATGTAATCAAGTTTGAGTTGAAGTAGTAATTAAAACAAAGTTCTGCACGCACACAAACAGTAGGAGTAAAGGGGAACTGCTGAATCCATCATCACTTCTGGCTGATCATAAATACAGAATGCTAAATGGGCTGGAGACGTTTCACAATGTCACCAGTCAAAGGTAGTGTGACGCACTTTCAGTCTGAAAAACCTGCTCCCAGACAGAGTGTGAGGTACTTTTCCAGCCTGTTTTTTCAGTGGAAGTCTATTTTTTTTCTTCTTCAGTGAGTCCTAATGCTTTGGCCATATGCTGGAGGCTGCAGAGAGGACAACAGACCTCAGTGTGCAGACAGACCCCGTTTGCCTCCCCTCTCTCCCCCTTTTCCCTCCAACTCTCTCCCCTATAGGGCCACAAACCGGCCTCTGTGAGAGCCATCAACTGCACCAACGACCAGGTCTGGGCTCAAACATCTCCCCCACCTCCATTCCCGCCCAAGACACCTTCCGCTCACATCCACCTCACACTGCCCCTCTCTGTGTTCTTAACCCCCCCACACACAAAAAAATACCTGTTTCCCTCACTGTCTGGCTGAAGCTTGGTGTGCACAACTCGACTGCCTCATCTATCATACCACCTACTGATAAGCTACAGCCAGAGGTGGATGAAATATTCAGATACCTAAGTAATAATTTTTTATTTTGTTATTACTACTTTTAAAAAGGTCCCGTGTGTAACATTTAGGAGGATCTATCGGCAGAAATAGTACATTTTTATTAGTGAATAATCACCTGAAAATAAGAATTGTTGATTTTTTGTTACCTTAGAATGAGCGGTTTTAATCTAGATAGGGAGTGGGTCCTCTTCCACGGAGGTCGCCATGTTGAACCACCATGTTTCTACAGTATCCCAGAAAAGACAACCAAAGACTGGCTCTAGATAGTGCTTTTCACATGTATTGTGGCAATTGTAGTTTCTCCTACACGGGAAACGGTGTTAAGTTGGTTGCAATCTCTACTTCACTGTTAGATGCCACAAAAGTAAAGCCAAAATGAAAATGTACTTATTTACTCACTGTACAGACTGGTACAGAAAATATTTCCCTCTGAAATGAAGTATAGTAGATATATGAAGTACCTAATGCTCAAGTACAGTCAAGTACAGCAACGTTGCTCTTCAGTACATGAGTAACTGTATTTAGTTACTTTGCACCAGTGGCAACAACAAGAGTATCTGTGTAAGCAGCTTGACAGGCTTGATGCAGAGTTGAAGTTTCATGTAGTATTTAAGTTTTCATATTGAGGCTGACTTTAAAACAGTGAGTAATACAGCTTTTGTCTTGTTTATTCATAAAAATCTGACTTGTCAGATAATAATGACGGCAGTTACAACAGAGGGTCAATGAAAACTTGAGTCATCACAGTCAGTTAGAGTGTAAACAGCTCCGAGCTATCTGCATGTACGCACACACACATTCCTCATCTTGACCTCACCACACCATGAAGGAGAAAACACACAGTGATACATGCACATACGCAGTGCTGTTTGTGGCTGACTTCACACTACACATGGAGCTGAGACAGACTCAGACCGAGGTTGAGCAATGAATCACCTTTGTATCAACCCCAATGTACGTCAATTTATTCACCAGTCAAAACAGGGAGAAAAAAAAAGGAGTTTGACAGAAGGAAACAGAAAGAAAAAGAGAAAAGCACCTTAAGTCTACCAAATATTTACCCAGTCAAAAAGCAACACAATGGAGTTATCTATACAGGTGAACTGTCAACTCAGTACACACCTGGTGGGAATATACACTAAAAGTGTAAATATCTTCCATTTGAACAGTGACTTGCCTAAAGCAAATTTCGCAATTTGCTCTTTGAGTAAAACAAACTTTGCGCTTTTTGGATCATCTATACTGCTTCAAATTCTGAAATTTTATAAAAATTAAACTGCTACAATCAGCTTCCTCATTTTGACATGTTTTATGTATAATTTCAATGTTTAATTTATTTATCTATATTACATTTTACATAATTGATTAATATAATTTCTTAATATTTATATTGTGACAGATACAGAACAACAAAAAAAAGAAAAAACTGTCTGGTTGTGATGAAAAAATTCAGTCACAGACATATATCTCATTTGCCTATTGTGAGAACAATAAAAGAGTTAAATGCAAGGTGTAATATTTTGATATGTCAATATAATAAGTTAGTACTGCATGAGACAGAATGTGACACAATATCAGGAGAGTGGTGTGATCTCTTAAGGAAGTTATATCTGAGGAACCTGTGGTGTGGTGGACAGTAGGTCCAACCCCGAAACCACACGATCACCCTTTGTCTTCTCTCACAAACAACCCTACTGATTAGGTCTCTTCATAGTTTACAACTGTGGCATAATCTCCTCAACTATCAAAACAAAAGGCTTCAACAGATACACACACACACACACACACACACACACACACATCATCAGGCCTTGTTTGACAGCTCCTTCACAATGCACCATGGAGCGGTGTTGGCACGGGCCAGCTTGAGGGATGGGCCGCAGCGAGGTTTATGACTGTGCTGACGTCAATGACATAATTCAAATACTTAACCAGGCAGCATGCTTCCACCCCTCTGGATCCTCTCTTCTGGCTATGAGCCTGGAAAACCTGAAATGGATTCCTGTTGTGGAGCCGGGTAACTACTGCAGACAGGAGCGGAGCAGACTACCCCGACTGAAAATGACGGGTCAAATTTGTTCTGGCTGTCAGTTTGTGGTCAGCTGCCTGTCTGTGTGTCCATCCACTCTTCTGTATATTCATTATTGTAACTAGCACACACAAAGAATACCCGCTTTAACAAGAAATCATCCAAACACTCTATGATGTTTAATCCCTTTGATCAGACTGATAACATAGTGTCAGATAGCAGATGCTTCTATATTTTATGGTGCAGTTATTATATGCATGCACACAGGCTTGCACTATGCACAAGACTGCAGCACTCATGCCCTGATTAAAAAGTGATTACTCCTTGTTATTTGGCATCAAAGCACAGATTACTGGTAATTAAGACCAGCTATTTTTCTTCTATAATCTGTCAGAATAACCTGTTTCAGATTAGTCTTTCATTACTTCCCTTTCAGGGCATGTTTACAGAAAGAGACAAAAGATGAATGAGTAATGCTTATTGTGTGGGGCCCCACGCCCTGGGCAGTTTACGCACAAAGTCACGTGTTTAGTTTCAAGGCAAATAATGTGTGTGTATGAATGCAGCGGCCTGCTTTACTGAATTCATTTGGCACAGTTTGCAATAAAGTCTGCATTAAATCCTGACCAGGTTTACTGAGCAGCTGACATTCCATCCAACAAAGAAAGCCAAACTGGTAAAACTCATAGCTCAGGTATTATGAATTAACCCCCCAAAGGGATCATGGAAAGTCTTCAACAATGGTGCTCTAACCTATCTTCCTTGGAAGGCCTAAAACAAAACTTGATGAAAGTGCACTGCAATGGAAGCACATTGCAATACAATGCCATGATACTGTATTAGGTGGAATACGCCTATCTGCATCTCTAAAGAATCTCGTTTGTTTAATGCGGGCAAAAACCAAAGCGTAAAAACAACAATTTGTGGGGAGTTGTGACTTCCTTGAGCCTGTTCTGGTTACCTCAGTTTGACAACAAGAAATAGTCCTGCCCAAACACTTTCACTTCAAACTGCAACTTCTTCTTTTCACACATCAGCTTTTGAATGGATTAAAAAAAAGGATTTAAAGGACCAGTATGTGGCATTTAGTAGCATCCAGTGGTGAATTAGTAAATTGCAATCAACTGCATACCACTCGCCTCACCCTCCCTGTCCAGGTGTAGAAGAAAATATGGTGGCCTTGAGAAAAACGATCTACAGCCAGTGTTTGGTTTGTCCGTTCTGGGCTACTTTAGAAATATGGCAGTTCAACATGGCAGCTGTCACAGAAGGCAACTTGTGGCTAATGAAAACACATCTATACATATTATATTCAATTTCTGCCAATAGATCCTCCTTAAGATTACACACCAGACCTTTAATTAGTGAGCTGTGGACTGCAGTGGTGCTGGTAGCTGTATTTTCTTACCTATGAACAGAGTTGGGTTAGTTGTTTTCCAGGTTTATTCTAAGCTGAGCTAATTAACAGATATGACAGTGGTACTGATCTTCCCATATAAGTCTTGAAAAGTAACCAATAAGTGTATTTTCCAAAATGTTAAACAATTCCTTTAAAATAGATATTTGATGTCACAGTAGTCTTTTTACTTCTGAAGCTTTTATGAAAAGCAACGCTACAAGCGCATTTCAGGCAAAGGCTGCACCGAAGCAACAAACACTGGAGAAAGAAACACCTTCAAGACAGCGGCATGGGCTAAAAGAATACAGAGGTTTTATTTTATTTTATACTTATGTTATTTTGCGCACACAATACAAATCAAGCAGAATTGTGGAATGTCTGGCAAGGCTGGCTGGTCAAATCTAAGGTTAACTAAGATTTGGCGGCCTACTTTGCCAACAGGCCCTATTTTGGGCAGCACTGCTCTAAATATTAATTTCTGAAGGCATTGGGTCAACATTCATTTCTCAAAGGGGACACTGAAGCCAATGTGAAATCTCATGAGTCTAATGACTAACCATGGACCCTGGAGTCCATAACATCTGTGATGATATTCAGCTACTGATAACTGTTGCAGATTAATCATTATCACTCCTTGACGTCAAAGACGTCATGATCAAGCATTTTCCTCAAAAGTACTTTTTATCAGGCGTAATATAAAGCAAAGCCTATAATCTGAATCAGTCAGGGAAGAGTGAGCCCTTTGTTGGTCGCGGGGCTCATGGGACTGCATGTGATGGAGCCAAGATGGTTTGTGAAGCGTAAACTGCAAACTCACATGAGGAAAACTACAATCCCCTCACGTTACTGGAGTAAGACAGTTAAAAGTGTAAACAGCCTGGAGTGACGCATTTGCAGCTGAGCTGAGTTTAGTATACCCCCCAGTTTTCTGCTTCTTGAGCACTTTCACCCAATGACTGCAGTCACGTTCCTGCTCTTTTTGTTTATTCATCCGATCTGACCTTTTTTATTCCCATATCATATCTGATTAAAAGGCCCAAAAACTGTGACGCCTCTCTCTGACCTTTGCTGTGTTTTTGTTCTTTCCTATCTCATTTCATGCAACAAACTGGCAAATCCCTGACTTGTTCTTGAACCCACTATATCTGTGCCTAACCTCCACCTCCCCATCTTCCTACAGGAATTCACAATACTCTCTTGAGTTCTTATGTGTTTCACTCATTTCATTGTCAAATCCCTTTACAGGGGTATTCAACATTTCATAGAGCTCCTAATCAGCCATCTACGCTGAGCTCATGCCCAGAAAGACGCAGGTACTGTATCTTTTCCAAAACTGGGGATATTGCCTCACTGAAAAACACAGATGCAAAACAGGAAAAATCTGTTCTCCTTTTCCGGGCAAAGAGTTGACAAAAAACGAGACAGAAAGCAGCACAGGGGAGGATATGAGGGCATCTTTTTTGTGATATTGTTAATTGTTGTAGTCGCCCACTGAACAATTTAAACAATTACTATTATTTAGTGGCAGGTGTACTGTATGTTCTTTGTATGCTCAGGAAAACATGTGATGGAAATATTCTATGGTAGGACTAGAATAAGATGCTGTGTCAAACATACATATACTGTGAGTCAGAGGTTCCAAACACGTTTGCTTAATCATATTTGTTGTTCTCATTCTATCCTGATGGAAGCCAATAATGGTATGGTTTCACTCGTCAGAGATTACTTTGAAAAGGTCAAGGTTTGTGAGAAGTGTGGAGGAGGAAGGACAATAAGAGCCTCACTGTTTTGTATTTTTTCCTGCTGCGGGACGCTCCTAGCAGCCCATCTGTGCTGATAGGAAGCGTACAGCACCCGTGTGCAGGCCATGCTGACGTCAATTGGGCTTGAAGAACCAGTGCAGCAGGAACCAATATCCCCACCTCCCTCCTGCCCTTCTTTCACTTGTCCTTTCCCTCCTTCACATCTAAACCATTAAATATCTTTCTGTGGTTCTCACCCTCTTTCATTCCTTCTTTCCGGCCATAACATCAGTGCATGGGAATTTCCGTTGTTATCAAGTCATAGTTTCCTGCATTAATAACTGAAAAGATTACAGGTTCTACTTGCACGTGTAAAAAAGCTCAAAGATAACAGTTTTTTGCTGGCAGTGTTAAAATCTATTACTGTGTTGATGTGGAAATTTTCATAGGGAATTACAGTTCAACCCAAAGCCCATCTACACTAATTAAGCATTTGCATGCAGAACACTAAATATGAAAGGTTGACTGTGAATGTGTGTTGTGTTTGCAAAGGCTCAGTCTTATTTACTGCACGGGTATGAGACTGCAGTGACTTGCTGTATGCTACTGCCATTCATTATTTATTAAACTTTCAGATTATAAATGTTGTTGACAACTGTGCAGATTTTAGGCACATGCCAATAAATTTTAACCTACGACTTTTATGCATGAAACTGCACGTAGGGATTAACTCAGAACTGGGCGTATCTATTTTTGGATCTTATCTTTCATTCTTTTGTATCTTTTTAATCTTAAACAGGGCATTGTCCTCCACAAACTGGAAGGCTTCTCGGACTCACCTGATAGACAGACTTTGGTAACAGAAGGCTGACTTGCAGCAGGAGACTTTCTGGAACCAGAGAGAAACAAGTTAGAAGCTATTAGATCAGTATGTGTTTTTTTTTTTCCACAGTGTGATTTGGTTCCTGCAGCAGTCAATGTTGTCATAGCACAAACATAAAACAGGTGCTCCCTCAGTTCATTTTCTACCATGGGGCACTGTCACATCTAATTCAGTTTTGGCTCACGGTGACCGCTCTCTCTGAGGTCGTATTGACTCTGCATGCACCTCTAGCAAACCTGATGCAACTGCAGCAACTGACCCAGTTCAGTGACCAGAAGGTGCTTTGATGCACTCAAATGAGATGAGGTAACCCACTCTTACACCAATAAAATAAAACAAAATGTCACTGTGTCCAGTTTGAAATTGTAATGCTGCTGCTGCAATCCAGCTTTGCAGCTCTCTGGATATTTAAATCTATACTTCAATGTGAGTGGTTTCTCATATTAGAAACGTTTTTGGTGCATTGGCGCCCCCAAGTGAGGCATGTTGGCATCTTGAACTGTGTAATTCACTTATCAAGAAATTAGGAGCATGTTTTTTTTTTTTTTTTAAGAATGAATCTCAGATGATTACATCTCATAAGACAATTATGAGATTACTTACTTATAGGATGCACATTGTACATTTGTCAAGGTGGTGAAATTGTTCCTGACAGTCCGAAGGCTTGCCAGAACCTAAAAAACAATATGAAAAAATAAAAATAAAAAGTGATATATGAGTGATATTTTAAAAAAGCCAAATGGAAATATTTAAAGATTATAATTTGTTACTTGCAGAAGGTTTAAGAGAATATACACAATGTTAATATGACTATTTTGCTTACATAATATTCTTATTATTGTGATTATGAGATGGCTACTCCAAATATACAAAGGTTTTTATGTACTCTTTTTCAAAGTTTGTATGGAAATGCAGCTATTATGCGGACCGACTGACTAATTGCTGTGTCTGAATCATTTACAATTGTTAATTAGCTGCGAATTCAATACAGTGTTTGTAGCTGTGTCTCAATTCTGAATGGTGCTCGTTGCTCCCACTCCCACTCAAATCATAAATATATTGTAACAAGGTAGCGAACTACATTAACAATACACTAACATTCATTAAGTAACAATTTGAAAGAGTGCACCTGATGAACTGCTCCATAAACTATTATTCAAGTTTCAAAATGAGACTTCATAATCACATGACATTATGATTGTTTGGAGCTACTTGCAACCATTGGAGAGGCAAACTAGACAAGAAAAATTAAACTACAGTTTAAATTGGGGATGGTGAGTCTAAAAGGACCTTGTCGTGCCTACTAAAAGCCACCAGGGGGCGGAAAGGAATTACTGTCTGGATTCATGAGGTGCTTCACATGTAAAAGGCCTTTCGGGAAAATTGTGTTTGTCAAACAATGCTATTTGGCAAAATATCCTTAAGATGTTCTTAGGAACAGATTTATTGACTCTTACCTGGGCAAATGGAGTCACAATCAAGTCCTCTCCATGCCTGAAATTGGATGTGAAAACTATTGAGCGAAGACAGTTACGCAGACAAACACTCAGTTGAACAAAGGGAATTTGATACAACAGCAGTCTCTCTCTCTGAGATCATTTCAACTCACAGTTCTCCAACAATGGAAGAGTTTCGAGACAAAGACTTTGGTGACAGGTCGTAATCGCTGTCAGAGCGGTACAGGAAGGACTCCCGGCGCTGGCCATGGCCCGCCAGGTTGGGATGTAGGACCAGACCTGAACCCGGGGATGCCTGCGGGTCTGAAGGACTGCAGCATAATGATGGGCCATTCTCCACTTCAAAGCTAAAGGAAAGATAGATAAAGCACAATAATCAGTTAAATAATGAATGTTCTTTTGGTATTTAGAGAGCATGTATATTATCAAATGAAAACAAAGAATGGTTCTCTGTTATTCCTTAATCAACTTCAGGATGTGTACAGATAGACGACTGATCAGACAATCATTTACACTGACTATCAAGTTATCATCATGTACTAAATAATTTCAAGAAGCTGCCATTAAAGAAGCTTGCACAACATGTTCACATGTCCCATCCAAGAATGAGATGGTTGCATAAACCCTAAAATGATTACTCACCCATCCATCCATGGCCTAAAAACCAAAATATTGTGCTCATTAAATCAGTATGCTTTGCTGGTCAGTGAGAGGAGGGGTTGTTTGATTGTAAACTGCCACTCTGGTCTGTGTGTCACTGCAACACTGTCCAAGACAGCTCCACTTATTCATCCCCAGTTAGTAGCAAAGAGACAGATTAGCTCCTTATGGTGCGATGCTGGACATATTCTAGTGTTCATTCATTTAGCCTTGTTTATCTCTATAGTGACAGATACACTCAGTCATATACAGTGGTCTTTGAAACATACAATAGATCCTGTATGACTGCAGATAGTACACACAGCAGTTAAATCTGGAACAAGCACCTCCTCTAATTGCTTTAGATTAATGTTTTTGTACATGGTCCTTGACAAATAAATCCAATGGGATAACATTGAAAACATTAAGTCTAATGCAACATATAATCAAATAATTTAAAGCCTCAGCCAAGTTTCAATGCTTGTCTCTGACCTTTTATAGAAAAGAAAATACAAATTACAGTCCAATACAACGTTATTATAAAAAAACAACAGAGTGGAAGAAGTCAGGGAACTGTGTGGTGAATCAAGAAATGATGGGAGCAATAGCTATCCAACAAGTAGCCCATTTGATACAAAGTATGTGTAAACATCATGCAAACAGCCAGAACCAGCCTGTTGACAGATGCCACAGTAAAAGTTAAAACACCACAGATGCACAGACGGATATAATCTGTTTGTAACTATGGAGTGGGTGAAAGAAGAGAGGACAAGCTATTGTGTAACCAGATGATCAGGTCAGATGGACTGGAGTTTAGAGGTGAAAGGTCAGAAAGTATCAATCCCCGGCAGGAACAACAGATGCCAGAGATCATGAATAACTCTCACTAAATCCTGGATTTATCATAGATAATATGTACACACAGTCTGAGTCTGTGTGACTGTCACATAACACATATTCATATTTTATTTTATTTTTATTTAACTTATTTAATTATTTATTTTACTTTGCTTTCACAAACGCACTAAAATCTATCTTGTAATGGACCGACTGTCCCAAAGGCTACTTCACCATTTGCCCCACATTTATCCCCTGCCTCAGTAATTTCTGTGGGACATGTGGGATTAACCGGGCACACATCCCACTGAGACACTCACAGTCCCACACCTCTGCCAGAGAAGCTCAGATTAATGTGAAAAGTGCAGACTCTGATTACACACATAAACGTCATCTGTGTTCATGTGCGTCACCCAAATCCCAACATCACAACATTAACAGCATGCTTTACCTACAGCATTCAAATCTCTTAATCTGACACGGGCAGGAAACCACAGTATGTGAACAACATATTTTCTGTAGATGCTGATCTACTGTAACTCTGACAGCAACGGTCTGGTAGAACAAATCATAATTAAACGTACATTTTTATCTTTTACTTTCTGAATTTTACATTGCAATTGACCAAACTTTCTAAAACATCTAGACACATTTAGAGAGAAAAGAAAGTCAGAGAGGTTAAAAATACTCAAAGAATCCAGATTAACCATTTAGCCAAATAACTTTCAATTAAAGAAAAAATTGAAAAATATTTCAAAGTGAAAGAATCACCTGGGAGCCGAGAGGTGTGCTCTACTGACCACTTCCTCACTGAAGTCAAAGTGCCCAACTCTGCACCTAGGGGACCTCCGTGGCATTCTTCTCTCCCTTCCACCTCCTCCCTCCACATCAGGCAACAAAAAGCACTGATACTGTAGCTGCTCACTCATACAGGCATACAGGCATACACACACACACACACACACACACACACACACACACACACACTAACAGACCCCCTTTCTGTGCAGTAACAGGCCACGTGCTGAAATAACATAGGCTTGGCAGAGACTAACAGGCAGATCTAGGCTGGAGCACTTGCAGTCGCTCTGTTTATCTGACCGCCTGTTCCTTTTCCCTCTATATTAAACCACTGCAGATTAGTCAGTGCGTTCATCATCCCAACCCCGCCCTTCACTTGACCACCTATGATGTCCTATAAAAAAACATATGCACTGGATTTTACAGTGAAAAGGGATGTATTAAAGTGAAAATACAGGTTGTCATTTATTGGCTAACTGTCACTATGTGCATGTGGTGTAATGTAGATACTGTTTAGGTATGAGAGCAAGGGTGAGATGCCCAAAGGAGGGACTGTTAGTAGGGTAAAGGTGTGTGGGACAAGGTTCCCAAGATGTTTTACAGTCGAATATGATTGCCAGAAACATGTGAAGAGATGCAATAACCATCATGTTTAAGGGTAGAAAAGCTTGGCTGTCAGCATTGCAATAATTGTGTCTTCATTTAGGACAGACAGAACTTGTTTGTCAGACTATTATCTTTACAGAATTATGTAAAATAACCTAAAATGGCAATCGTGTTCTGGTTTTGGCAGGAGACACTGTATTATTAGCAAAACTCAGTGTTAATGTTAGTCTATATCAGTGTTTAAATATTGTATGTCCGTATCAGTAGAGTTCATTTATCATTAGAGTTATCTGAATAGGCTGAAAGCAAACCTGTCAGTGTGACTGGGAGATATTTGGGAAGAGAAGAACCAGAGCCTCCTATTATCATTTGAGTGGAAACGGAGGGAAAAACAAAACAGGCTGTCTTCCTTAACCAAAACCATTGCTGTATAAATACATATTTTTAAAAACATCTTTGCTCAGTGGATCCAGAAAATAAAGTAAGGACTGTTACTCAAACAAATAATCATAAGCATGTATTCATGCAAGGGTCAAGGAGGACATTTCTCTTAAGCACAGTACATCCCAGAGGAAAAACACTGAGCACTCTGGTCTGCTTGTACTTTTCAGTGTTTCAACAACATAAACATTTTACGATGAAATGTCTTCATCTTCATTTCAACACATAAATAAAAGTAGAGCATGTGCCTAGACAGAAACACAGGATGTGAATAATATTTACTCTATAAACTTGTCTTGATTAGTCAACGCAGTTCCAAACTATTGTAATTCTTTTGCACTCTGTAGCTATGACAGCTATTGAATATCTGTTCATATATATGTTACATCTTTTCATCTTCAAAAGGATTCCTCCTCTGTTGCTTTTTCGGTGGTTTGCTTTCCTTCTCTTTCGTTTTTGAGTTCACTATCTGAATCAAGGATCTACAGATACAGCAAGTAGTTTATTGTACAGATTGTAAAGCCCTCTGACAAATGTCATTTTTGGCTCTATAAATAGACTTAACTTAAGACATGCGGGAAACTGCGGTCAATTACCATCACCAGACTCTTCATATGTCATTGGCAGCGTCTGTTTCCAGTGTTTTTACATACCAGTGAATCTCTTTGATAAATCACTCTCCTGGACCAACTCACCCAGGAGCAGGGACATTTTTGGCAACTTGAAATAAACTACCGCCAAGAGGTCCGTGTGAGTTAATAAATACATCTTTAATGTAGCTCTTAAACACAATAAATAAATAGAGTTGGCAAATAAAGACAAACGGATGGAAGCAACAGCTCTCTCCACCTCTTACTCTCACACAAACACACCACCAATATTCTTACCAGGTATTCGCTACAGTGAAGCGCCTGTATCGTCGGAGATGCTTGTTTACCACCTGCTTGCGAAAGCATCTCGGTGAGCTGTGTGGTGAGGTGTGGTTCTGGCCAGTATTAACATCAACAGCACTGCATGAGTCTGCCTGGTCCGACCTGAGCTCCCTGTTCTCTCCACTGGCTTCCATTAGTGCTTTACAACTAAGTCCGATGTAAGAAGAGTGAGTGACGGCACTTTTCTGGCCTTAAAAAGCTACGGCCTTTCCAAGAAACTGATGAAATCACTGTTTGGAAAACTATCAGACCCTTTTTGTTTTCACTAGTTTTATATTAATAAAGAACAAAGAGTTATTGTATTGTACTCTGATCTGAAGATTAAGTCAACTGGTAGATATCTTTTCACACACTCCAGCAATATTTATGATGCAAATAAAAATCCAAAACAACATAATCTACAATCTGATTGGCTACTCAATAACAGCTAGAAACCACCACCAAAAGTTGTGGTGCGTCCACAGCGACATGCAATACACAGAGAAAAAGTTTTCCAGCTCTTGACCTTTAATCCAGATAATGCAACCCATTCTTTAAAAAACAGCAGAGCAGAGTATGAGTGTTATAGAGATGAAAGCAACTGATGAGAGAGTCAATAATCATCTGTAGTGAGTCATAGTGGTTCAAAGAAAAAAAGATGTATGTGGCAAATTGCCATTCATTAATGTAAAGTGGTAGCCATCATAAAAACTCCCCTGTGTTCATATAATCTGCATTAACGCAACCGTGGAACAGCAATAACAGTGTATGATGAAACTAAATGACTGCCACATTATTTTGTACCATCTGATGCTGTAGAAAATGTGTGTTCTTCTCCAGTACATAGGGCTACAGTTATTACTGTAAGACACAACTAAAACCAAGAAGAAAACAAGGTGTTGAAAACACACACCAAAATAAAAATATAAAAATTCACTGCCAACTTTGCTGCTAATTTGCAAATCTAATGTCAAAAGTAGAAAGAAAGAAAACACCAGCCTCCCACTCTCCCCGACACACAAGTGTTTGTGCTCCGACAAAAATACGAAAACTTTCAGCTAAAACTTAAAAAACGAATTACCCTGAAGTATTATAGTCCACCTCAGACAGCAAACATGCACAACAACCACAGCAGTAGTCCTTTGTGAGTCTCACCTGTCAGGGTCAGCCTGTGTGATGTCGATGCGGGGCAGAGAGACGATGGGCAGACTTGTCGGCCTTGTCCGGGTCACTGGATCTTCGTCAGGTGTTAGCGGCCTGCCCCTGTCCCTCTCCTTTTCTGCTTGTCGCCATGACAACGGAGGCAGCTGCAGGTTTCCAGAAAACCGCCTGTGGACTTTGCACAACTCCACCCCCAGGGTGCTGCCTGTTGAAAATTGCCCCACAGGAGGCTCCTTATTCTCCTGAGGGTAGAAAAAGAGAAAAAAGAAGACAAAAAACAATGAATCACTGGGTTACATTTTTATGAAATTAGCTCATAATCGTCTATACGGGTAGTCCTGGTGGTGAATTAACATGAAGAAAATGTGGATGAAATGTTAATATCAGGTCAGGGCCCCCTTAAATATAAAAGTTGAACTAAAACAACAGATTAAAAAGAAATAATGCTTTCATAGTTTTCCAAAAAGACTATTCAAGAGCCAAAAGTTAAAACAATGAAAAAGAATGAAAATAATTAAGTAATGCATATGTATAGGCTTTTGGTTAAAAAAAAAAAAAAAAAAGATTTAAGAGACCGATTGAGCACACATAAACATGACTGTTATACAGCGCCTCAAAAAAGTCCAAATGTTTAAACACTAACTAAACAACCTGCCTGCTCTGCACAGATCCCTGCTTTAACAAAGTGATGTACAGTGTACATCAACTACATTTATGTTTTTATACTCTTCACTACACAGAGAAAGATTAAGCATCTCATCAAGGCCCACAACACCTGAGCTGCCAATTGGCATTTTTATTAATCTGTGCTGAATATAAAGTGTGTGTTTAATGTGTCTGGTTGAGTGTGAGGGGTTCCAGTGAGGAGTCCTGGGTGCTTCACTGTAATGACCGGTTATAAACAAGTCAGGGCACTGAGGAAACCAAGGCGGGCTGCCAGAGCTCATTTTGCATACATCACCCTCTACTTTATGTTCACCACATGTAAATGAAACACCGACAAGCTTCAAATGAACAGGGGAGATAGGGAAGCACGATGTTGCCATGGGGAAATGGAAGATCGAGGAATTCCTAGAACATGGCTTTGATCAAACACAAAAATATTTGTCTGTTTTATGTGACAGTGAATGAGAGTGAGAGAAGGAGACAGAGTGAAGCCACAGTCTGACCTCACTTTCATCAGGGCTGACAGCATACTACAGTTTGACAAGACCGAGAATGCACACCATCAACTACTAATACTCTCCCTACTAACAGTATTTACTTAATTTACTTACTTACATGTCACTAGAAAATAGTGATATTTGGTTTAAAAAAAATCTGATGTAAACAAACAACAATCTTGATACAGGGTTGTTTTGAAAGAAAAGTGACCAAGTAGGACATTTCACAGTTGAAAAGTCAACGCTCTCTAGTGGACAAACTATGGAATAATGACAATGTTTCTAAATGGTCAAACCTAGTTTGACAGTTCTGCAATTTCTTGTTACTTACTGACAGACATATACACCAATAGTGATATATCTGCAATAGGCTATCTGACAATATATTGGCCCATTTAATGAGCTAGCTTTAGCATTGTAGCTACTAGGGCTAATGATTATTTTTACTACGGATTGACTTATGCATTAAGTATTAATAAATCGAAAAAAATCTGTCAGAAAAAAAAGAAAAATGCACATCACTATTTCCTACAGGCCATGGTGATGTCTTCATATGTCTTGTTTTGCCAGAAGCATTCAATTAGTAACATTAAAAGACTTGAAAAACAGCAAATGCTTAGATTTACGAAGCTGCACCTGTGAATTATCTGTCCCTATCAAATAACCATAAATTAAAATGGTTTCAGATTGATTAAATGACTAATCATTTCAGCTCAAGTAAAAATACTATTTAAACATTTGACATCTACAGTAAAATGTTTTAATTTTTACATCTAAAAAAGGAAGCAGCTGCTAAAGATAAAAAACATAACTAGTAGCATTAACCTAAGCTTGGTAAAAAGGCAAAAAGACAACTGTGAGAACACATGCACATCTGTCTTGTTGAGGTGATGGGTCCTAAAACTGTAACTGTAAGTTACATCTCCCATCTGCTCCCATTTAAATGCCTTTTTTTTATTGCGCCAAGAAAAGTACAGCGTTTCAAGTCCAAATTGGCTCTTCGTCATGGACAGAGAGATCCTCTCTGAAAATTTAAAATGACAGTGGTGCGAGTACTGTGAGAGAGATGAAAGGTCAAGAGGAAGAAATTCAAATTAATGAGTGATTGAGTAAAGCAAGATAGAGTGGTGTCACATAACGAGGTAGAGAGCAAACTAATTAAGAAATAAAAGGAGAGAAAATAACAAGCAGAAAGAGGAAGTCATCCCACCTCCTCTTCCCAGTAAAAGTGACAAACCATAAATGGCAGGGATACGCCAGTTGGGAAGCAAAGAAGAAACATGAATGAAAGAGTAAACTGCTAAATAGAGGGATGGGACCAGGGATGGAAAAGTTTGTGAATAAGAGAGGGCAAGAGAAAGTGAACCAAGAAGACAGTTAAAAACCACAGACAGAGACTCGAGTCTGACTTCCTTTCTGATTATCAGTAAACACAGCTCTGCTGACCCCTCTGCTCCTTCTAGGAAATGCAATTTGTCTGATTTATTGTGTCAGTCTCTTTAAGGCACGATCTTCCTGTCCCAGTGGAAACGAGTGAAAATTAAATCCGGCAAAACATAATTCTGTTGCGACAACTCTGCTTAACAAGAGTGATTGTGTAAGTGGAAACAGCCCCAGATCAAACGTTATAAGCAGAGATCTAAATTTCTTCCCTTGTCAATATGTCACAGTGCCATCGCTGTTTCACTGCCAAATTATTCATCAATTGTCTATTGATTGTATCTCTGACATCTGAACATGTAATTCTTGTTCTTCATTGATCCCACATCTGTGGTCCAAATGGCATTTGGAAGAGGAAATACTGCTCATTTACTTTGAGTGTACGCCTGTATAAAAGCCAGGAGTAGGTCAAGGATGTTGATCATTTTAGAATTCAAAACCACAGCAAGTTTTAAAACCTGCATCTATCATATGTGCCGGAACATGGTCATAAAAGGACAGGAACTGAGATGAAAGGTAAAACAATGAGTCTGAAATGGAGGTTGTGTAGCCCCAGTGTCAAACAGAGGTGGAGTGGGTGTTGAAGATGAAAGCACTTTCTTGGCCGCAGAGCCTAAACAACGCCAGTGTTCTCTGGGTTACATCCAAAAAGCATTTTTGAAGAAGGTGATATAAATGAGACAGCTTTAGGAGTAAAGCTCTAACTGCATGGCTTGATGTAGTGCCTGAATTATTAAATCTAGAAAAGAAAAAAAATTCTGAGACTGCTGACTTTAATTATTAAGAGCGATAGAATCTGATGCTCAAGGGTATAGAGTGGTAGAATAGCACATCTTTACAGAAAAAAACGAAAGAAAAAGGGCTTTCAGCTTTAAAATGAGCTTCTATAAAGATGATAAAGTACAGAACACATACATATAAATGAACACTTACTTCATTAGTATTTGCATCTTAAACTATGTCGCACAACCATTGTCTTTTATAATAGAATTAAGGAAGAATTACTCATATCTTTTACCGAAGTAAAAGTAGCAACACCACAGTGTAAAAATACTTAATTACAGAATCTTGTATTCAAAGTTATTACTTATTTAAAGTAAAGTTAAAAAAAAGTACTCATTGTGTAGAATGGCCCATTTCAGAATAATATTTACAATATTACTCATGATGCAGCTGGTATAGGTGAAGCTAATCTCAATTACTTTATATACTGCTGGGTAGTAAAATCAATAATCAGTACTTAAGTATCTTCATTTATTAGTTAATTTAAATATTGTATTAAAATCAGTAATCAGTTAATCAAGTAACTAGTAACTAATGTTGTCAAATAAATATAATGGAATAAAAAGAACAATATCGGCTATCAACATGTAGTGGAGTTAAAGTACTTAACCGAGTGTTTTTATTTTTTGCTATTTTATACATGTCCCTAAAATTCTACAAAAGTACTGTACCTATATGTACTTATATATATCTTAATGGCATTGAATGCCGGTTTCCATTTTGATAAAGGTTGATGAATGATAAACACCAAGGTCAACGATAGAAATAAGTCTAGGACTTAACTGTTAAAATAAATAAAACGCTAACATACAAACATGTCCTGCTTTTTCCTGGTGTTATTACTGAGCCTCACATGTATCTTAAATACTACAGGAATATATCATGCAGTATTTAAGATACATGTGGCATTAAAGTTGTTGAAAGTAGTTTTACTCTCTATTGCAGTACACTGAAAATACAGAAACCTTTTAAACATTAAAGAAGTCCTCACAGCCATTCCCCTAACAGAGTGTAATAAAAGTATTTTAGGTGCTATTAATTGAAGGTTTTCATTCCAAAATTAGATGTCAACCTCTTGAATAATGTGTTTGCTATTACGAAAATCACTGCTGGCATGAAAGTAAAAATCACCATTAATCATCCCTGACATTACTGGCCATTATACTGGATTAAATTGTGTATTTCTTCTATAAACAAGTGAGTAATAATGAGCACCATTAGGAGTTCTTTAACCTATAATATATAGTATATAGTTCTACAATATTTTAGCATTCCTATACATTTTCTCTAACTAGTTATGAGTGGGGGGGTTTAGAGGGTGATGGAGGACAGTCACAGCAGAAAAACTGTCATCATCCAGGATGTAGCTTGGCCTCTGAGTTCCTGTTGGACAATGTCAAAGTAAATGATCTGGCCAGCCTGCCCAGTTATAAACACCGGTGGCGTGGAGGAGAAACAGATGGGCCTCTCTGTCAGATCTCTGTCCTTCCTCCTCTCATCCATGTTTCCATTCAGTCAATGCCCTAAATGTCTCCTGGTGTGAACTGTCTTTTAACACCTCTCCTCCTCTTCCCGCTCTCTGCCTCCTTCTAAACTCCTCATCACTCCTCAATTCTTTGTCTTTTTTATCTTCCTCTCTCTCTCTCTCACACACACACCACAACACCCTGTCCTTCACCCCCCGTCTCTGTTCTCACACACACACACACACACACACACACACACACACACTTTTTGCTCTCTGCAGCATGTCCTGCTGGATCGCGGTCTGTTGTGTACAGTACAGTCATCTGTTTATGAGTCACTGACCACCGCACAGACATACTGCACCTTGCTGCCTCAGTGTATTCCCACTAGAGCTCAATGGGTATTTGTTCAGAAAGAAACAAAGCAAAGGCAAGCATTACAAAATTTACAGTAACTGGGCAAACTGCAGAATTAGGCTGTAAACTTTAAAGGCGAGAAGCGGAATATCGGATAAAAAGAAATCATGAGTGGCTGTGTAATGAATGCATGGATGGATTCATGGTTGCACAGATGGAGGGTTGGAAAAATCAATACTTACATCGTCTGGTGTAACCCCCTGCGCACTACTGCTTTTCTTCATCCTGAGGGATGTTCAGCCAGACTCTCCCTCTCTCTCTCCCCCTCTCTCTCTCTGTGTCTCTGATCCTGTCTCCGAAGATGTAGTTCTTTCCTGCTTCTCCTGCTCTGGGCAGCCTCACCAGTACGCCTGCACATGGGAAGCAGAGGAGGGTGGGGGCAATGATATAAGGTATCCAGTTCCAAAAGTTATTCTGCCTCCCTCACAGTGAATATCATGTCTGCAATTCTTGTCCGACTTGCGTTATTGTTCTGACTTGGTAATGCAGTTCTGTGTGCAGTAATTTGACAAGTCTACACTGTGTTGCATTACACAACTTTGACAAAAAAGCAGACATTACATGGACTGTGATGGATTACCTATCTCAGCAGTTGCAAGTTTGTACAAGTAGACATTCATACTGTACTGAAATGAATTTAAACACACCTTAGAGGCAGAAAAAAATATAGGAAAAAGGTAAACACAGACCTGTATGTCTTGGAACGTTTTCAATATTAGTTCCAATAATGTTATTTTTAAGATTCGATATCAATACCAAATAAATACTTTTTTTTTATACCTTATTTTTAGAAACATTTGAGCCACACTAGAGATATGGTGGCAGGGATGGCAATGTTGGTCTGTTGGTCCACCACCTTATCTCTGACTGAAATATCTCAAGAACTATTAGATGGATTGCCATGACATTTTGGACAGATATTGACTGATCCCCTAACTTTTGTTTTAGTCCCACCATGTGGTTGATTTTTGAAGTATCTTGAAAAATTAGATGGATTGCCATACAATTTGGCACAGACAAGGATGTCCCCACAGAATGAACTGTAATAGCTTTGGTGGCACCCTGACCCTGACTTTTCCACTAGTGCCATCATCAGGTCAAAGTTCAAATTGGACCAATACTTTGGTTCATGTTCTTCATGTTTAGGACTAAGCATTCTAATATGCTGAACTAAGATGGGGAACATGGTAAACGGTGTACTAGCAAAACATCAGCATGTTAGCATGTTGACGTAAACATTTAGCTCAACGCAGCACTGTGCTTACTCTAAGTAAAGTCCAACGGCCATAGCATAGCTGTAGACTCCATATTTTGTCTTTAAACAGAATTTTAAATGTTGTCTAAAAATTGGAAATTGATTTGAATCTAAAACATTCAAAGATTACGTTTAGAAATGTTACAATGAATGAACAAACATCGGATGCCACCTTTAAGTTCACAATTCTCTTTGCTAGAGACACAGTTCAATTGGTAAAAAACAAAACTGAGGTTCAGCTTTGTGGGTAACAGCAATGTTAAATGTGATTTGTAGTAAATGTGCTTAAATGGGCTAAAACAAAAACAACTCTCCTTTAAACCTGCTATGTATTTCTGTATAAAACAATTCAGTGAAAAAGTTTATAAATATGTGGGCAAGGTTTGCATGTCTTAAGGTCTTTTAGTCCGCTCCTGTCTGTCAGCCTCTTCTGAATGCAGTGACTCATCAGAATCACCACAGCGGGTGGAAAAGCACCAACAGACAGACATGACTAACTAATCTATGAGATCTATATTTTCCATGTCACTATGGACCCCTCCCGCCCCCCTCCTGTGTTCCCCTCACGTTACCCCTTATTTGGCAGGCGCTGTGTCCTTCTGTTAAAGTCAGTGAAGGACTACTGGTGAGGGAGGCCGTTGTTGGTGCTTACCAGCTGGTGCCAAGTCAAATGGCATGAAAAGACAATTTTTCAGCTGCACAAACAGCCCAATCTTGTTGTGTCTTTTCTAGGTTTCACAAGACCATCATTCAAAGTCTTCATACTTCATGATACAGAGGTCTCAAGTAGATGTTTAGGCTGTGGTGATTATTGTGACAGAAAGTATGATGATAATAGAAAAAAATAAAGCTGTAGATAGACAAATTGAATGTAGAATCAGCCAACAAAAGAGTTAGTATTTTAATGCTTGTAATATTTTTTTCAGGAACTTGAACTGACATGAGCCGTTTTCTGCTGCTTTAATTAAAAACAGCCTCCATCTGTGCTGATACCAATTTTTCTGTTCATAGAGTAAGAGTAGTAGACGGCCAATATACAAGTATGATTATCAGTCCAAGTAACCTCAATCTTATTTATGTGCCCACGTACTAAAATAGTTCAGCATATACGGTAATTGCATCAACAACCCACCAAAATAGTGTTGTTTAAACAAGACTGAGATTCTGTGAGGCTGCACTTAGGCTTAACATGTTAAAGTTTAGGTGGTATAATGTTTACCGTGACTGCAATCTTAGTTTAACGTGTAGAAATCTTAACATTTGTTAACATAATCCCTTTATACAAAGTACAGCTGAGGCTGATGGGAATATGATACGTTTTGCAGGTATTTGGTCATCAATCAAAGTATCAAACGTACTGAAATTCTGATCTGATGATGGCTCTATGTGAAGAATCAGGGAATCACCAAAGATACTTGGTGATATATATGGTGGCGTTAGATGAAATTCAGGGATTCATCAAAGTCAGTAGAATTCAGCCTGTGGAGGACATGTTCAAACACTACACTAATCCATGACATGGCAATCCAACCAATAGTCGTTTAAGCTATTTCAGTCTTGACCAAAGAGGCACACCAACCAACCAGCATTGCCATACCTAAACGCATGCTGCTAGTGTAGCTAAAAATGTTAAGTTAATATAGTTAGTTAGTTAGTTATATACATAAGGACTTGGCTCTTTCAGATTATACTTAAATTAAACTAAACCCATTTACCAAATTATGAACTTCTCAAAGAGCACCATTTCAGAAAAAAAAAAAAAAAAAACGAGCAGAGAAGACATCCAGTAAAAGGTTATTTCAAATCATCTCATGTAAGTCCAGCAATGATGGGCATGATCCTACAATTTTAAAGCTTTAAGAATATTAGCACAATTCATCAGAGGAAAAGTCCAGAAAGGTCAGTGTGTCCCTGCTATCTAAGACACTAGGGAGCACTTGCACTATGTACACCATACCGAAATGGCTCAATAAACTGTAACTGTGTAGCTATATTATATTTTGTAACAAGCAGACAGGTGAGCTGTCAGACCACTTATTATGATTTCAGGTGGCATACACAATTTAATTATTTGTTTCTGTGCTTCAAAAGTTAGCTTTCTAAGGTTGTGGTATCTCCATGGACTGGACTAGTGCGAGGAAAACATCACAGCTCCAGTAAACACAACACAGTACACTGTTCCACAGCCTGGATGGTTTAATGTTGGACAGAAACAGACCTGGGACTAATCACACAGTCTTATATGAATGAGTATTTGTATCTCTTAATCATCAACACCATGGATATACACTCCCCATTCAATGAATGTTATATCCACAGTTACAGTTCCATAATAAAATAGGTGAATAACATTGAATGGTATGTTTGTCATGTCACTAGTTAGTTACACTGCCAGCTTGGATTTTAATCAGTATGAGTGCAAGTGTCTGTGCTATTTTGTAGGGCTGAAACTAATGATTTTTATGATCCAATAATCTGCTGATTCAATCATTTGATTGTTTCATCTAGAAAATTACAAAAAATAGTAAAACAAAAATGGCTATCAGATTTTCTGAGCCCAAGGTGACATATTTTTTTTGTTTAACCGACCAACAGTTCATATTAAATTTATAATGAGGAGAAATGAACAGGGACAACAGATGGAAAGTAGCCTTCTGGCTAACTCTGGTGCATTTACAGGAATGTTTAATTAATGTACACTGTCTCTGTTAAAATAAACCAATAAATAAAAAATAAAAAATAAAAATAAATTATTACATTTCTTGTGATCGACTTAACTGGAACCTGCAAATGTTTAGCATTTTCACTTTATAAACAACACTTCATTGATGATCAGTTGCCAAATCATCCTTCATTCAAGACTTTATTTGGGTAGTGACACCTTTAAGATAGACAGGAAACCAGAGAGACAAATTATTTAAGCGTCACTATTCTGTCAATTGCCACATTTGTAGCATACTGCCTAGCTAAACATATTGTAGTACTGATACTTATATTGTACTGGACTTACTTATTTATTGGTTGCTTTTTATTATGATCTCTTGTCCATGTTTTGCATAATTTTGAATATATCTATAATAGTTTGGAATGTTGTTTTAAAAGGTTGGACTGCCAGCACATGGTTCATCTCTTTGACAGGACACATCAGTGATCACCTTTGAAGGTCTTTATCAACAAGAAACCTTCACTATTAAACAGAATGATTTAACAATAAAAAATAAATCTTTATAGTAAGACTGTTGAAATAAATGAAATTAAAATGGTTACAAAATCCTTTTCTAGTAAAGCTTTTTCCTTTTCATCAACACTTCAGTGAAAAGGCCAGGGAACTGTCAGCACATCCAGGAAAGAAGTGAGCTTCTCTGAAGAGCATTTAAAGCTAAACCACAAGAGACCCACTCAAAACAACAAAGATCATTGGACAAAAGACACTGGATTGAAAATGCACTCCTGCTTCCACTTTTTAGAGAAACAAACCCCAAGTAACCTCTCATCTCAGTAACCCCAGCAGTAGGTCATCCCCATGGTGGCTGCCTGTACCTCTACAAATAATTGGTTGTTGATGTGAAGCAGGCAACAGAATGCATGGTCATGAGGCAGCACTCGAGTTGCTGATTGTAAGGATTTTGCTCAGATTTTGAAGAGAACACCAGGGATCACTGTACTGGGTGTGTATCACCGCAACTGAGAACAAAACAAACTTTAGCAGACTGCTTCTGCTTAATTACAACTCAAAGACAATGCAAAGGCTATGGACAGACTCTGTTTTTGCTAATTCTTCCATTAAATGGGGGTGCTTAAAAAGTATGAATTAAGTATGTATTAACACAGTATGTAGTCTCTGGGCACATGGGAGAGAAAAGGCGAAATATCAGATTAATCACCTGTGTCATTTTCCCAAGGAACAACAGATACAGCATTGCATGGTGGGATTTGGAGTAGAGTTGGGACTGATCTGATCCAGCATCTGGAGTTCATTTGTTATTATTTGTTAATTTGACTGCTGTTTATTTACACGTGAGGATAAGGGAGACCCAGAAAGGAAAAAGAAGGTGAAAGACAGATGGATATACAGAGAGGGGCAGCCATGTTGCT